CGCAAGAAGGAAGAATGTCGTTTATGACGGTAACAGGCTGAAAGAGCTCATATCAAGTTGAGACTGGCCCATCGAGGAGGACCCAACGTACGACTACGACCGGCTTCTGAAAGGATTGCAAGCCTGCGAAGAGTGCGCCTCAGTGACTTCCGAGAAGAACGGGGACGCATTTCGATGGGTGGCGGACTTTATGAACGATAGCGCACGCTTAGGCAGGCGTGTGTCAATAAGGTGCGCACCGTTAGCCCCGCCTATCCCAAGATGGACGAGTTTTTTGCAGTACAGCTATAGCACTGGTTCATGGCCATGTTCCCTAGTTAAGCGAAAGCAACTTGTGATAGTGAGTTATAAGCTTGTTGCAAGCTGGGATGAAGCCTGACTACTTACAGAATTTTTTGCTTTCTTGTTTCTTTTTTTTGCCAGTCATGAACAGCTAATGTTTTGATCGTGAAACTCAAGAGATTAGCTGGTTTACCTATGAATGACCGAGTGACTCCTGGATATCCAACTTTGAAGTGTGAAATCAGTCTAGAGCCCTCACATCTTACGACTAGTTCACACGCAATTTCGATTATTGAGTTAGAGATCAGTTTATACTGAGGGTAGCAGTTTTTGAAAGCAAACAAAAGAATTTTGTTTTTTAAGCAGATTCGAAAAAATATAAGTGCAGTGTGATTTTCCTTTTCCTGAAATCTGAAAAAGTTATTGTGATATGACCGCATATTTGCAAAACGAGTGATATCTAATCGTGCGAAACAATACCAAATGTAATGATGTACACAAGTTATTGAAATCAGTTTGCTTGAAACAAAATTCGCCTCTGATGCTTATTTTGAATTCTTGTCGCAATGAAATCTGTTTTTACCTATGATAAGGGTTTCAAAACTTACTTTTCCGATAAAAGAGATAATCGTGTGATTTCAGCAATGATAATGATATTTCTCGATAAGCTGACTTCTTTTTGAACTAAACTTGAGAATGCACAATAAACAATATTCAATACGGTAAAAGATGTGAATAAAGAAAAACACTTTTCACAATTTGGACAAACCTATTAGGAACAATTAACTGAAATACATTGAAAAGAGCTTGCGAACTAATTTATAATAAAAAAAGACCTGAAAACTGACTTTTAATTCAATTGAGGTTTTGAAATTTACTGTTATTCAAATTGCAACCTACTGAAGAAGCAAGAAGGAAATATTACAGAGTTTTCCAGTGGCTGCAGCGCATTCCTAGGCTAATTAACAAGGGGGCGGAGCGATCAGCGCACCGCGTACGGTATCTAGCTGGCGGCTGGCACATGCTATCGTTCATAAAGTCATACACCCCATTTCGATGACCACGAAGGAAATGCTCGAAAGAAGAAGATTTCTGAGGCAGGATCCGAATGCAACCCATCTTGAGCGACCGATAGCCAATGTCAGTTGCAGAACAGCTTTGCAGGAGGATCTCAGGAAGTACAGGCAAGCCAAGATACTGGAAGCAGCCGAAGGAAGACGAAGTCTCAAGAAGTGCCGAAGAGAACTCCTTGAATATCACGTACCGCTGGCTGCACTATTAAACGAAGACGGGACTCCGACTCCTTCCCGATACAAGATGGCTATCGCGAAGAGCTTCTATACCAACCTCTTCCGCTCATCAACACCCGTGCCGATGCCCGTTGTTCCCACTGGAGAAGTACCACCAGGAATTCTACCTGCTGAAGTGCGCACAGCGATGTAGACCATGAAGACGTCCACGGCTCCAGGAGCAGACCATCTTTCCGTCAAATTCTCAGAGCAGGAGGACAACGTCTACAGGAGATTCTCGCGCCGCACCTAACATCTTACCTTCAGAAGGAAAGGATTCCCGACCAGTGGAGAACGTCAAGAACCGTCCTTCTTTTGAAGAAGGGTAAACGGGAGGATCTTCGGAACTACCGTCCAATATGCCTGCTGAGTGTGCTGTACAGTCGAGTAGATTTTCCGCTTAATATAGTGTGCTTGCACAGTTTATGAAGTGCGGTAAAACTTGCGCGTGAAGAGGTAGCTGCGCCAGCATTGCCGGCATATTGCGCGCGCAACTGGTCGGCGTCACAGTCGAAGCTGATTCCTCACGCGCAAATTTTACCGCATTTCATCTTCTGTGCAAGCACACTATATTAAGCGGAAAATCTACTCGACTGTACAAGCTCCTCACGAAGATAATCCTCGCTCGCATATCTAGGACACTGGATGAAGCTCAACCCCAAGAACAAGCTGGATTTTGCAAGGGATTCAGGGATGCGTGGACCACATTTAGACGGTTTCGAGAGTCATAGAAGTCTGCCGGGAGTATCGACTTCCTCTCATCCTGACCTTTGTCGACTACAAGAAAGCCTTTGACAGCGTCGAAACCAACTCCATCCTGTCAGCGCTAGTCGATCAAGGAGTGGACCCAGCTTACGTGAGGACATTACCCGACTGTTACAAGGACTGTACAACGACGATGCAGCTCTTCCATCGCCCCCTGACTATCCCAATTGGAAAGGGGGTCCGACAAGGCGACACAATCTCGCCGAAGCTGTTCACCGCGGCCCTGCAGTGAGTGATGTCACTGGACTGGGACGAGAGAGGCATACGAGTTGATGGAAGATTCCTGTCGAACCTTCGTTTTGCGGACGACATCGTTCTCTTTTCGAGCAGTATCACTGAAGCAGAGACGATGCTGAAGGAACTGAACGAAGTAGGGAAGAAGATCGGATTGCGAATAAATCGGAACAAGACTCAGTTCATGAAGAACGCCTTTTGCGAAGATGCAGAAATGGAATTGGAAGACACCCTTATTATGTAAACGTCTTCTTACGTGTATCTCGGACGTTCGATGAACATGGAGAACGACTTGAGGAAAGAACTTAACAAAAGAAGAAAAGCAGCTTGGGCCACCTTTGGGCCTCTAAAGAAAGCCACCGACCAATTTACGAACCTGGAGCTTCATGCTCACCTGTTCGACTCAACCGTCCTCCCGGGACTCTGTTACGCAGCTGAGGCTTGGGCTGACACCGTAGCCACGTCGAAAGCTTTACGGACCACCCACGGAGCGCTAGAGCGTAGTCTTCTGAAGATGACCCGGCACAAGCAACATCTTGTCGGACTTCGCAGTACGGATGTGAGAAGAATGTCCCGTCCTCGTGACCCAGCGATTACGTTGCGAAAGCGAAGCATCGATGGGCCGGTCACATTATGAGAAGAACAGACGACAGATGGACACTAAGAACACTGTAGTGGATTCCTCCAAAGCGAAACGTCCTCAAGGCCTCCAACGAGATGGGCAAACGTGTTCGTGGAACGAAAGGACCAGCTGAGAAATGAGCTGGATACGATTTTCGCCCCTGGAACTCGTGGACGCAGCCACCAACGACGACCAAGAAGATCGTGGATGTCCGAAGCGAGGAACAGGAATCAATGGAAACTTCTGTGCTGGGGCCCGCACGTCACGTGAAGCCGGGCCATTTAAGTATCTAAGTAAGCACTCGCTTTTGTTTTTTCGAAATAACTTATGAAAGAAGCATGACCGTAGTGTGCTAATCGCATATCTGTAATCATCGACTCTGATTAGCCTAGTGTGAAAGAGTTTGGCTTGTTTGGTTTCCTTTCCGGAGCGACTCTTATGGCTTAAAACCGTCTTCCTACCGTAATCGTACAGTACGAAGGGAGATCAAAGTTTTGCTTCATACTGTAAATCTAAGTTGAAGCGAGCTCTACAGAATGGTACTCAAAGATCAGCTAAAGACATCGAAGCAAGCTCAACGATCAAATAGTGTGCACATTTTTAGGACACCCTATATATCCTCATTGAGATTTGTGGATTGATTTACAGTTGTGACAGTGTGAAAATTCTCGACGAATTCGGGGATGTCGGCGAATTCGCCAAAGTCGGCGAAAAACGCAAAATCGCCGACATCGCCGAGAATTTTCACATTCCAAAGCCATAACTGTACAGGAGCTCCAACAGTATTTAGATCTGCGGGTTGACATCAACTTAGACTTACAGTATAGAGCGATTTATCATCGCCACTGTGGTGAAATTACCGTAGGAAAATTTTAAAGATTTATGAGACATCAAGAGTCGTTTGCCCAAAAAGGAATCAAGAAGGCTGAAAGTTTTACATTAGACTTTCAAAGGCACTCACTACATATAGACTTTGCACTCAACCCGCAACCGTAATTCTTTTTTAAAACTTATGCCAGGTACACCGTAACAAATGTTTTTCGACGCCTTTCAAAACGCGATTGCAAATTTGAAAAGCTTGAAAACTAACGCGTACTAAATCCGGCATACGTAAAAACCTTGTTACACAAATTTCAAATATTTTTTGGGAAAAATTCCTTTGAATGCCTTGTTTCGCAGTTACTCTATATGCTGGAAGTTCCTACCGTGATAGCACAGTAAGAAAACATGGGTGATTTGCTTTCTGCTGTATTTGTAAGCTAAAGCCATCCCTACATGTTACCTAAAGGTTGCAAAAGACTTCGTGTGAGCTATTAGCTATCGAACAGTGTGGTCAATAGATACTCTTGGGGCGCCCGTATATGTTGTGGATATCGAGTTTCCGAATTCGATGCTTATCGAATTTTCGAATAGTCAATTTTTAGCGAATTTTCGAATATTTGGTGTTCATCGAATATTCGAATATTCGATGGACATCGAATGATCGAAATGGCCATCGAATATTCGACTACCGAATAACATTCGAAAGTTGAGATCTTCGAGTATTCGGCTTTCGAATAATATTCGAAATCTCAAAATTTCGAATATTCGAAATCGAATCATTCGCATTCGAATGATTTATTCGAATAATCGAATAATAATTCGATTCGGTTCAAAGTATAATGCACAGCATACACCATTTCTAAACAGATGCTTTAGTTGCCTGAACCTTATGCCAACCAGGCATGCATAAAGATTTTTCACGGTCTCTCACGACAAGCGAAAGACATGAACTGACATGACTGGAATGTTTATGAGAAATGTATCAAGCTTAAAGCAGTAATCATGTGTACAAGGCTTGGAAAAGCTATTTACACCACAAGGCAAAACCGACGAGATTTCCCGTCTTTGATATGTTATGGTATATCAAAGTGTATTCATGAGCAATCTTAGAAAGATAAAAATGTGAATTATACGTATATGAATGGAGTCGACTAGACCTCGGTACTGTAACCATTTTGCATTCGGGGCGAGCGTGAACTCAAGCTGGAATAAAAGCATTGATACAATGTGATAATGAAGATTGGATACGTCAAAGCTTAGCGCTTACTTTTCGTCGCTGATAGCAACTTTCTTTTTGAGTATCGATGGTGCGGGGGAGATGCCACGCTCCTGCGTGAGAGGCTTGGGGTCTGGAGCCGGCGCCACGGCGTGCTTTTGATAGTGGAAGAAAAAGTTGAGCACAATGTCAATCAGAGCGAAGGCGACGGAAACGAAAGCCAATGACTAAAATTTCTTTTTTATTACTGTCAGACCACGCGCTTGAATAACATAAACTGAAAGGTGGCTAAGCACATGTCATTCCTTTTCTTCGCATGAAAAGCGAAATTGAAAAGAAGACTCTCCCGCTTTATATCGATAGATTCTTTAGTGGCGCGAAAGCGAAAAACGTACAGATTATTTCATCATTGATTCTAGCACTGATGTGTGCGCTTGAAAAAAAAGGAGCTTGTAGCAAGCACAGGGCCGGCACAGCTGGAGCCAGGAGCAAAAGTCGCCCCTGAGAAAAGCAAAGGGATATCGTTTTTAAGATATTTTCGAGCGGAGAACAAAGGCAAGCAAGCCGTCGGCATGCAAACCTCTAACAAAGGCATTGCCTGGAACCAAAAAGCAATGACATGACACCAAATTTGGGGTGCGCATGTGCGTGAGAAGCTTCGAACTATGGCAGTTCATAAAAACTTCGCTTGTGTGGAAGCCGTGGCCAACTTTCGAATTAGCTGGAACCACTCCAGCTGGGCTCCAGCTGAGCTGAAACTGACGCTTTCACATAATTTTTTATATTTGCATATATTGCACCTTCACCGCAAAAGTTTCAAACGAGCAAAAAACGGTTTCTTAATCTCTTCTCTAGGCTTTTATATAGCCCTTAAAATATTTGCATTGGCTGCAATCTGCTCCGATCGCAGAACGCGTCTCTAAGAACCACGTTCGGAGTTCATTATCCTTGCCGATTTATTTGCTTTTCTGTTTGAAATTTCTTTCTTGTTATAAATTCTTGACATCATTCCTCATGAGAGGGTGGAGGTGGATAGGGCAGGGAGAGGAGGAGGGAAGATGTATAGATGAGTAAGCAAGATGTGGAGGGGGGGGGGACAAGTGCTGAACTGGTAGACTTCAGGGCCGGTAGTAATTCCCTCGACCTGGCGGCTTGTTTCGCCGTCAAGTCGCCGGCATCCTTACGTGAGATCGGCGCGAACACCGAGCTCGAATTTGTGCCCTCCCAACCCTTTGCAACACGTATTTCTGGTCGAGGAGGCCATAGTGACCTTAGGGAACCTTACCTGTTCTAAAAACCTCCCTAAACAGAACTGAGGAAGTGCTGGCGGCAACTTCACGAGCTGACCTGGCGGATCTCGTCGAAATTTCAGCGCTGAGAGGTGCCGCCAGGTTAGAGAGTACGAAAAAAAGCGTGCTGTTTTGAGAAAGGTGCTACCATCCTGACGTGCCCCTACCATGACGAGGTGGTGGCACCTTGCTGGCGGCGTCTGTGAAACTGGGTAATGCGGCAATATCACACAATTTACGTCAAGCGGAAGAACCAAAAAATTCGATTTCCATCAAAAAACCATCATTTTTTGCTATACAGGTTTTCCTCGTTGAAATTGACGCTAATTATGTAGAAGAGATGTCTAGTAATCTTATAGAACAAAAAAAACGTCATCTTCTTTTTGCAAGTTCTCTAAATCTTGTTTGCAACGATTTTGGTTCTCTTGTGCTCATATCACTCGGCTGTTCTTTCAGGTCAACGTCTGCACTGGATGTTGACGCAAGCGGGTTCGAACGCAATCGGTGTCGCTGTTTTGCGGTTGTCTGAGTTATCAAAACTTCTTGTGAATAGGGATTGCGGACCAGGACTATATGAGTTTACCAGAACCTAAAAGCAATCCGCGAGATGCCGCCGGAGTTGGTAACTTCCCGCGATGTCTGCCAAGTTGGCGGCATCTTTGATGCCGCCAAGTAGGGTAGATTAGTACCTGCCCAGGCTCCGACACTGATATAAAACTCGGCGCATATCGCAGTATTTATTTTTATTTTTGTCTAGTAAATGTTAAAAAAGAGGGTCTTCACTCTTACATCATTTTTGGGGGTGAGCAACAGCACAAGCAAAAGAAAACAAGTCAGAGTAGTGGAGAAGGAGTGGGGGGGGGATAGAGAAAGGTGAGGGAAATTCTTAAAAATGTTGAAGAAAGGGGGCGCCATTTTAATCATCTCGTTCCAGCTGGTGCCGAGTCCTGGACAATTAGAGCAAAATTATTAATATGTAGTAAATTGCAATATGTAGTAGGTATTGCACTGTGTGTGAATCATATGGTGACCAGATAGGAAGCTTGCAAGCACTTTCTGGTGGAGGTGCTTTTAGTAATCGAACACTTTTTGATTTTCCCAACTTGAAGTAGATTACGGTTTTTGAAAGTTCAATGATTATTCTGTAAAGCTTGCTTTGTTCTATCGAATAGTATTGATGCATTTTTATTTCCATTGCTGCACAAGAGACGCTCATCAATTTTGCATCCTGATACTTATACAATTGATTAGCATGCTGCATAAGTTCTGTCCGATTTTTTTCGCCTTATGTTTGAAGCAGCTGTTTTAAGAGATTTTCATCCCTAATGTGGTATTGTTAGTATCATTAGAAGTGCTTTTTTTGCTCTTTTCAATGCATATCGTAAGGAGTCAGGCCTAAAATCTCCAAGTGGTCGAGCGTTCTCACCCTAGAATTATGTTCTTGCGAGGAAATCCCTACAATGCGCCCTTCAAGTCAAGTTCTTCATTGGATGCGGAATAAGGGTGTAGAAGGCTAGTATATGCAGAGGCTCAGTTCTATAAAGAAAACGTCTTGCTAGTAAAATTTATTGCCGAACAATAATTTTTTGTAGAGATGTTTTACAAGCAATGACTTTCTGCGAGTAGAAGTAATCGATGAGGTCAAAGTTGGAGGTGCTAGGGTAAAGCAAGAGCTAAAAGGACCTGTCCACCAATTCCCTCGGCGCTCACGTCAATTGTAAAATTTTCATAATTCGTAAATAGGCATGCACACATGCGCTAAAGCGAGCTCAAAAAGTGGCTTCTTTTTTGATCGGTCAAATACATCTCTCGGCAACGCAGACCCCACGCAGACTTTTTTTGTTGCAAAATAATCCACGAAAATCTATCTATCTAACAATTGTTAGATGATATGCCTATCAATACTCATAAGGGAGCATTGCCATCTCAAAAAAGACAGGTTGAAGAAAAACGTTGTGAAATTTTTGAGTTTTTGCTTCTTCCTTAACAAGGATTTTCGCAGATCTCAATATCTGATAACCAAGGAACTGCCAAGCACACAGAAACCCAGATATTGGAAAAAAGTTGACTTTGAAAGAAGTTGTGACGTTTTGTATATACTTAGAAAATTCAGATCGGGCAGAACTTATGCAACAGCCTAATATTTGCTTATCCCTCAAAAGAACCCCTTACAGTCTCCAACGTTCTCAGTTTCTTGTCTTATAGCTCAAATCTTTCAAAAATGAGCTAAGGAGGAGCCGCACCGCCAGACACTTTAGCCAGGGCCCGGCACGAGTCGGTTTCTAGGGTTTCTGAAAACCTCTCCTCCGACTTTCGGAGGTTTTACACCCCTTTGACCTAGCTACTTAGAAGAAGATGAAAACAAGAGAGGTTTATTGATCTGAAAGAAAAAAACATTAGATAAGCGTGAAACTCCAGATTGGAGCTGAATACTACGCATGCACAAGAGCTTGGCATTGGAGCGCGATATTTAACAAAGCGATTTAAGAAGAAATGAAGGCAAAAGAAGAGAGGGGAGGGAATGGCATGAAAATGTCTTCATGCTTAGGGATAGATTTTTGACCGGGGAATCCGTCCATGATAGATGTATCCAAAACTTATGTGAAGTGACATAAATATATGCTCCAGACGATCTCAGATCGTCTGGTGACCGTCTGGAGACGGACTATTTCTGGAAAGGTATTACTTCACATAAGTTTTCAAACCTTTTTGCATGATTCTTTTGCATATAATTTCGTATGTATATGGTTCAATTTTAATGTCATACGATTCTGTGTGCGCTTCAAACAAATAATTTGTTTATTTTAGCCTTGCTTTCAAATCGCGCGCACTTTTCGCCATACACAATAGAGCATGTCAGTCGTGTGATAACCTGTCCGAAAAGCTTGTATTCGACTTGGGCCGCGACTCGTCAAAAACGGTATCTCCTTTGCTTTTTTCTCCAAAAACGAAGTCCAGCCTGCTTCCAGACGATCTATGCCGGGACCTTACTTTGGCCTCTGCTTCTAGCATACAGGGCTTATCAAACGCGTTGTCGCTTGCATCAGCATCTCCACTCCTGCGCTGGACTCTGCGTCTCTTCCGCAAACATGCTCTCTGATCACTTTTCCAAGGAGAAAGTGGGGAAGGCGGAGCCTCTCGATTGGAAGTGATTCAACAAGCAGATCACGGAAGAGACGCAGAGTCCAGCGCGGGAGTGGAGATGCTGATGCAAGCGACACTGCATTTGATAAACCCTGTTCCCGTCCGCCTGCATGAAAACACTTACACAGGTAACGATTCCAGCTTAAGGTGGCGAGCTGGTTTGAACCGTACATCATTGAATGCGTCTTGATGAGCTGATTCCAAACCTACCTTCCCTACCTGCGATGTTCTTTGGAGAGAATTATAAGCGGTTGAATGTGTGAACTTTTTAATGCATAATGGAACACTGTGAGTAGTCAGTTATAATTAGCAAAAAGATCAAATTCACAGCAATTTTGCGTCTGTTTTTCACACTACCGGGTTTCGGAGCTGAAAACTACACAGATAGTACAACTTTTTTGCTGCCCCTCATCAAGCCGCAAAATTTAGAAAGATAGATAGCCTAAAGAATTCTAGCGAAATAGAAGGCAAGAAGGCATAAAGACAAGCATAGTTAAACTAGCATACTGAAAGTGGAATCAAACACAAACTAGGAGTGATACTGCAATTAACTGCAACCTCACATTCAAATAAGTACTATCCCGCTGTAACTTCAGAGCGCACTAACGACATCCCGTGCATGGCGCACTTTATGTAAAAGAGCCAAATCTATAGCTGTAGCGGATCCGATAAAGCTCAAGTGTGCTTTAGAACTCAACTTGAGATTGCATGACCAGCATGACATTGGGTGTACCGATTTCAAGCAATGCTCGCATTTACCAGAAACACAAACAAATGTATGTGCACAACAATTCTTGAGGGTGTGGCGCTGAATATTTCCTAAACTTGGACATTTGAACGCTCATAACTTCTTCCAAAAAACAGCATCGCAAGTATGGACGGCAGCTTTAGAATCAGCTCATCAAGACCATCTAATAATATGCGGTTCCTTCCGATTTACTAGACAGGGTTTACAATGTACGGATGTACAGTCGCTTCATTTCATATGATCATGTGTGTCATTGCACACACAGTTCACCATTGGCGTCCCCATCCTGGATTCGTGGGAGAAGTAAGCCTTCAGGTAAGTATTTCCAAGGTGTTCTTAACATTTTCTTTCCTTTTTAGTTATTAGTCACCTCAAATTGATGTAATCGATAACAATCGGTAAGTCTCTTGTGTTTTTGCGATTGCAAATCCAGGATGAGGACGCCAAAGTGGAGTGTGTGTGCAATGGCACACATGATCATATGAAATGAAGCGACTGTAAATAGGGTGTAGGCTTTATTACCTATGAAAGTGATAGGATTCAGGCCTGTGCCACAAAACTAACGTTAAATTTTAGTAAATAACACAACGCATGGCATACAGTTGTAACATACCGAAAAGGGTTAACCTTGATATGTTTAGGTGACATGTGCTTTTCAAATTACTGTATCGGTAAGCGGCACTGTACTTCTAACTTTCTCAAATATTTACACACTCACCCCAGCGATTTTATAGGCACCGGAATAGTAGGCTTGAAAGCATCCATACTGATTGAATGAATCACACGTTCCAGGTGCAATGAAAAACATCACGCCCGCGATGATAGACGTCAGCATGAATACCAACATGAATAGAGAGCGCTGAAAATACAAAAACTTACCCACTCTACTTGCTACTGTCAAGATAAAAATAAGCTACAGGATAACCTACCTTCGGCAACGACATGTTTGCTAAGTCCCATACAAACAGTGTACCAATAGAGCCACCAACGAAAAGTATCGAGATCAAATCGAAAATGAGACCAATAATGGCTGCTATGCGACTGGTCCAACCGGACGACAGTGCAACACAGAATAACATCACTAAGCAGTTAATCTAAAAATTGAGAGTGAAAAATCATTGCGGTCAGACATTTTTAGTTGAACACATGTTAAATGTACTTTGGCATAATGTAAGTGACCAAGTCATCTTATATGTCTGAAAAATCTAAAAGTAACTCTGCTTAAGCTCGATTTTATTTCATTCCGCCTGGAAGCACTTGATGCTGATTCAAGTAGCCTCAGAAAAAGAATCGAGCATATATCATATGTAGATGGAAGCTATTAATTAGCAAATCAATAGTATTGAACTGTAATATAATTTTCGCTCCGCTCAAAGGAGGAAACTTTATAAATTTCTTCAAAGATCTTTTTTCGTGCAAAACTTACGTGGAGAATGTAGCTTTCTGAGATTACATGACACATATGAAAAATCAGTTTGTAAATTTGTTAAACGTTTTGGCACCATTTTTAGCGAATTTGCAGTGTGCGTTATTGAAGGGCTCTACTTCCGAACTGTCTGCCTTTTTTACAAGATCAAAAAATGTACACACTCTATCAAAATTCTTTAAAGTGTGATTCAAAAGGGGAATAAGTGTAACAGGATCATGTTACGATGAATAGCATTTTAGCTTCCGAAACTGGGCTAACGTTGATTTTGCCTCAAATGACGATCCAGTGCATACAAATAATACTATGTGCAGTTTTTAAGCTAATTACGCCCTTCAAACCAAGGATTTTTCAATTTAAAGCATTATGACAGCCTCGAATTCAGTTGGAAAAATAAGGAAACAGATTTCTTAGATTTGAGACAGACTATACTACAAGTACATACTGTGAATGAATTTTTAATCCAAAGCAGCCTTATTACAGTTGTTTGGTCATTCGAAGAGATGACTACAACACAACTTGAGTGCTTAAAAGAGAGCCAAGGAAGAGATTTCTTTACTAACATGTATGAGAGTATTTCAAACTTCACGAGAAGCAGCAAAGACTTCTTTCAAAGATCTTATGGCAAAAGCTTCTGGTTCTGGCCCATTGAGCTTCTTTCCTGATTTTTTAGGATACTCACCACGCATAGCAGTCTGATAACGAGGTAGAAGTAGATGGTACTTTCGAGATGCATCCCTTGGGTGACATCTAGGATGAATCACTACTCTTCTTCTATTCGAAAATTGAAGTCTGTTGTTCCCTCGATTTGTTTTTTTTTCTAAAATTGGACATAGAGTATGCGCAAATGAAGAACGAGATCAGGAGGCGCAAAACCTTTCGAGATGAAGAGGAGTTACAGAGTTCAAGCACATGGCACACATGAAAATCAAATCAATGCTGAGTCAGAGGGCGAGAGATTATGCAAATCCTATTGGAAAGGCGTAAGGGCTTATGGATGACTGTCTCTTTCAATGCAGCATTGCGCCACAACGTCATGTTCGTCATTTAATCCTCCACACAAAATCTCCGTGATCTTTCGAAAGTAATTTTTTCTGAGTAAATTGCATTCGAAAATTGGGTAATTAGGTACGAAAGTATAAGGCTGGACTTGCTGATTTTAGTTTTCCGCTGATTGTAAATTATGGAGATATTTTCCAATGTCTAAAAATTTGCTTAATTCTTATACCCCTATTATGTAGTAAAGGATCTCAGCGGAATTTATTACTGTTTCCGCTTTCACTATGACCGTCAAATTTGGTTTTTCTCAATTACATTAGCAATTCTCAAAAAAAAGACAGCTGTGTCACTGTCAATTCATCAAAGTTTTAAACAATAGTGCATATGCCAGAACCTGCTCGTCAATAAACTAGCAGCAAATTCTTGAATTAAATTAAGAGTCACTCATCTAAGCAGATCTTGGTACCCTCAAAAATACAAAAACCTTTGCTTTATCAATCGATGCGTTGTCAAAACACAGATTGCATCGCCTACAAAACAAAAAGCAGAAGGGCTCGAGCTAAGGTGAGAGGCGAAACATCTTGAAGTTTTCGAAAGAAACATTCTGAACCACAATTCCATAGCGCAGCAATACCGCTACATTTTATCTTAATCACAATAGTTACAACGAAATCAATTTCATATTCCAAAAGGAAACCTACTACAGCAGAATTTCACAGCGCACTGTCGTGTCAAAAACCCGACGATTCTACTCAAAAAGACGAGAGCTTAGCATTGAGCAGAAGGCTATCAAAAAGAGAACTCAGAAACCTATTCGTCAGTCATTGAAAAAACAGAAGCATGTTGACGCCAAGACGATTATTGTGCATTGAACATTGGAAAGGGAGGATCAATGCATTCAACTGGAATAGTTCACTTATTCGCACTTCACCGCGATACTTATACTAGTGCATGTGTCCAACATTACGGCATAGATTAACAAACAAGTTCTCACAGACCAAATTAGTACTACCAGAAATTAACTTTGTTGTTTCTTTCAATAAAATGATTGCACTCACAGGGAATTTGAGAACCGTGGGAAAAATGTTCTCTGCAAAAATTACTGGAATTTTTGGTTGTGCGAGTAAGGCAAGTTAATTCTGCTAGAGTAGAGTTAATAGGATAAAGACACTAATCCTTCTTTCTCTCATTGTTCGGAAAATGAAGAAACAAATTTGCGTGATAGTTTTTTCTCTCTGATTGTCAAGAATTCTTTGTTTTCCAAGTATGCGCGAGGAAAAGTATAAAGGCTTTTGAAGATTAGAATTCCAGAAAATGACTCGCAAATGTTTTCAAAGGCTGCGATCACCACTGCAAATATGTTGATTATGACTATAGTTTGGCTCGAGTGACAACATGCTGCCACTTACTGCGTGTTCATTAACTTCTTTGCCTCAAAACAGTGTTGTTTTCGAAGCGGACTCAGTAACCATAAGAATTTTTATTGCTATCAGGTAATCCTGCTGAAGAGAGATTTTTCATTGCTGTTAGTCTATCTCGCTCACACGAAATTAAAAACCTTGAAAATGACATATCAGCAACATATTCTGCCAACAAATCAAGATTATCCTTGTAAAGAAGTACTGCTCGTAATGTTGCAGTCTGAAGTTGCTTGCAAAATTAATGAGTTAAGATCAATTCTAGAGAACCGAAAAAATCGGAAAGTGAAACATCGCTATACATTATCGTTCACAAATTTAATCTTGAGTAATTTTTCTGTAGTTTTCTAGCTCTCGCATATGCTCAGACTTTTAGCAGATGCGATGCTATAGAAAGCATTGTTCCTACTTTCAAACAAGATTGATTCTTAGGAAATTCACTGAGATGCATGGATATTATGATTTTTCGAAAAAGGTGTTAACGGACCAAATTAAGACATTGTTAGAAAAATTCTGCTCGTAATTGCGGATTTCGAATAAATTGCTCAAAATATTAATGAATTAAGGCCAAGACTAAAGATCTGCAAGAACACCATAAAGAAGAAAATCACGGCGAGAATGAAACGTTCCGTCGAAGATTGTGGAGAAATCTGCGATTAGCTGCGCATTCGGGTTCATTCGTTCCCAAAAGCGAGCCAAACCTTTTCATGAAAAAGTTGAGCGTAGTGGTTTTTCGTCAGACATTGATGAGTGAGTTAATCAGCACTTTATCCTACTTCTGTTCGACGTAATTGTTCATTCTTCAACGGAAGAAAGGAGGGGGAGGAGAAATATGCTTTGGAGATATCTATGATTAATAAAACTAGCGACACCTGTAGGGTCGCTATAAGCCAATCAAGGGGAGGGGGCAGACAAGTTGATAAGTTCTGTACTTGAACAGCCTTTTTTGCCCGAAATTTTTTTTCCAAAACATTTCTTTGGCTGATTAGTTACAATGCACGTTTACTCATATACTTATGCATAATCCTAAAGAGTAGAACGACTTTTTTGAAAACTTTTCACAGTTTCTAAACCAGCCTTCCTTCTAATTTCATATAGGAGTTTCTGATCATGTGAGTATCTTTTTACATCACCTAGCCCAGGCTAAGAAACGGTCAGGATACCCAGTTTTTCAGAGATCACCAATATAACAGCCCAATTTAGAGTCTATGCGAGTCTTCAAAAATACTAGAGAAAGGCCCTAGCTTACCAACTGTCTGAAGCTACCACTTGTTAAGTTCAACAGCTTTTGATGAAAAATTACTCGAAATTTCGCAAGATTTTGACTTCCAACGTTGATGTTTCCAATCTATTTCAAGGTATAAGGTTAAACGCCCTTGACAACGATCTTGCATAACTCTTCAGGAACTTGAAAGTTCTTCAGAACGTTAATAAATTCCAAAGATGGTTAATTAGTGTCCATCTGGCGATAAAAATCGCTCCTCTTGATATACACCCCACAAGACTCCTGCACTATGCAAGAACAAGAAGGAAAGGAAAAAGAGAGTGTGTTGGGCCTCAATCAACAGTCTAATAGATTATGATGGCTATGTTTACTAGCAAGGAAATGAGGGGTTTGCGTCAATTTTACTTGAGAAAGCGCTGCACTGAAGAGTCAAAAGTCACCATCACAAATGCCCTTGATTTAACTTTGAAGAAATGGTTCGCTCGAAAAACACAATGTTCGGCGGTGAAAGCGGCTATTACGGTTGAGCCACACTATGGCTCTTTGCTGGACAAGAAACGTATTTGCCGAAGCGCATTCGGCTCGATGAATCAGATGCGACAACACGAAAGGTGAGAATTCACGAACAACAGCGTCAGAAAACGTACTAACGACAGTGTTCACGATATGCAAATAGTGATGAGATGACATCGTAATCAGTCACATGCTCGTCCCGACCTGCCCTCTCGAACAATACGAGGCCTATCAACGTGCATGTGCTGCTCAGAGGCACATGAATTGTTTCCGTAGGTCGTCTGCATGAGAGAAAACCTGTTTCGATATTGGGAAAAAGTTGACAATGAAACAACGCATACTTGATCCAAATAACCTATGTATAAGTGCTTGATAACGCTTGGCAAAGTCCTTCATACAATTGAAGGAATCTTCCAAGCGATGTTGTACATGTATAGGAGATGCTCATGGTTTTTTATGCTTAGTAAAGATTGAAAACTGGATTGGCACATTAAAGGCAAAAACTGGATTGGCACATAAGTTTTGCAACCTAATTTAAGAAATCTTCTCTTCTTGAGTGTGGCGCGCTCATTATTTTAATATAAATCAAATAGTAGGCTATACATATGCGCAAATGGTCTGGTTATTAGTGGCGAGGTAAAAAGAATTTACATATTTTCCGAAAGCTATCCGAATCAGAAATTTCACCGCGCTTATAATAAGAACCAAGCCGTTTGCAGCCTTATTCAAATCAAACCCAAACTCTACAAAGTTAGTTGCTGGATGAAACACTAACAATCTGCGTGCAGCTTCGATTTGATGCGTTGATTCAGGTTGCAAGCGGCTTCATTTTTATTTTTGTTCATTGAAATCTTCACATTTAGCAGATTTTCGAGAAAGCGTAAATTTTTTTCCACTTTGACACCGAAAATAAATCAGTTTGCACACCTCCGTAGCATACCACTCAGGGGGGAGGGCACGCGGAAGGCGACAATGCGCGCAAAATGCAAGCAGGGTAGCATCGCTCTTACTAACTTTTACAGAATTTTACATGTGGCATCGAGCCATGTATCTGCCCCACCCCCTACCTTGGCGCCCTGTCTCTTTAGCACTGACACAAAATTGGGAGATTGCCGCCTTCCACACCCCATTACTTAACCTAGTATAATACATCAAAAATAAGCATAATCCTGGAAGAGGAATTATGAAATTAGTTACAAAAATTACTTGCCAACCATATAATGCCCTCTGCCTTGTGCAATTCCTTACGCCCAGTCTTTCAGACTCTTTCAACCACCTTTCTGTCTGCTTCAATAGTTATAGTCGGTTTCATCCTGGATTAGGCGAAACATTCTGCGTGAAGCAACGCGTGCGCATCGCTGGAGGCTTCGTGAGCGCATAGCGCTGGCACTTTGCCAAGCAAAGACTGAGGAGAATGAAGAGACCCAGGCTTGGGCTCTCAGCGCGATGTAACATACTGTAGCTGCGAAACGGCGCGAACCGTTGCGAGGCGGACGCCCGCCAATCCAATTTCCGCCTAAAGCGGGTTGAAACTTACTGTAGCATATCTACAAGCAATTACAAATGCTTTTTTTGTGCTTTACACAGCACATCACGTCACACTGAATTTTTGCAGCTTGGCATTCTCGAGTCTTAACCCACTCAACATTGTCTACTATAAACGAGTTGAGGCCGTCTACCTTTCATTTGTGCACACAGTTTTCCACCATTATTGTGAGTAGAGTTGGATGGAATTTTGTAGATTATAAGAGCACCTACTTACTCAACGAAATGTGAAATCTATCATTTAAAAGTTATATCCTTTTTATGACAGAATTGAACTGATAACCAACATACTCGACAACGAAAACACCGACAACGTTTATTGGAACTCAGTCATGAGAATTTTGCTTTCTTCTCACAAAAGTGCCCTTTGATTAACAATCCTTTCGTGCTGTACTCATGAAAACCTACGTTCATAAGCGGTAATTTTGTGTTCAGGTATCTAGTATCCTAAGGAACTGAATGTCTGCAGAATGCACTAAGCTGCCGAGGTTCAGTCCTCGTTCGATAACAATTGCTCTTCTCTGGACTCACTTTTGCCGTCATTAGAGGTATTATCCACCTTTCAAGTATATAAGCGGAACAGAAGTGTTTCTTTCCAACACAAAGAGCATTTCGTCACATTGGCAACCCTAAAAACACACAGACATAGACATACTGACGCCAAATCGTATAAAAATTATCGCAGACGCGGTTGCTACAAGTCCATATTTGGCATGAACAGCTTCTTATTCAAAATACATATAATCCCTAAGATTGTGAGATAAATACGGTTTCAAAAGACAAGTCTTTGCAAAGTTGAAAATTGAGTACTTAAATTGCGTTCCACAGCATTCCTCTTGCCAATTTCGAAGCCCAAGTGCAACGTACACCTTTCATTTGTCATTGTTTGTACTCTCGCTGTTTAGATAATTTCTGATTCACTTGCATGGGGACAAATGAAGGTTTTCACTTTTTACTGCCTTACCACATCCCTCGCTTGTAGCGTATATAATCAAAATGGCCAATAGGCTACGAGTACGCTCTGTTATAGTTCATAGACCTTATTCATGAAATTTAACCCCTCCGGTAGGAGGAAAAGGCCTTTTCGTTAGGTGGCCTTAGCGGAGAACGGCCTTATTTTCATTATTTTCTCTACCTCTTCTCGAACCAAAGCTTAAAGATTATGTTTATGCAAAAGTCATGTTTTTTATGTCAAACACAAGCTAAATAGAACATCGTTGGTTCGCGATCGCAGCTGAAGATATGACACCTGAGTTACTAGCTATCTGCGCCTGACAGCTTCCAATCAAATGCAGTAAGTTCATGGGATCTCATTCAAAATCAGCATGAGCTAGCGAAGCTTCATTGAGGAAAAAAAATCAATTTTCCTACACATATTTCTCAAGTCTACCCTAACTTTAAAGCATAAGGCGCACTTCAGTTTTGCAAGCTAGCACCTCGGCCGCACCATTCTGCCTCGCAAAGTGGTCACTTATCCACACAACTCCTTCAGGTAGGGAGCAGCATGGAGAGGATCATCTGGCGCGATTTATGGTGTATTCAGGCTGGTCGAGTTTAGAAGCAAAACGGGTGGGTCTTGTTCTCGAGAAATTGGGTATTTATTTCTGGTAAGATACTAGGCAACCTCCGATTTTCTGCATCTCGTCGATCGAACCCCATCGGCGCTGATCAAATACGCACTTCTACCGGGTACTAACCTAGACCGCAAGAACTAGGGAATTCCTGCACATGCACGAAAAAACTCGATCGAAAGTCTGCTAGGGAGAATACTCATGGTTTGGAAGCTTATGACATGAAATTCTTCACTTCCTTTCCATTATTGAAATCAAGAAGGGACCTATTGATCCTTTGTATCAAACAGTAGTCCACTAAATGGGGTTCTCCCAATCCAGAATGCTCTAATTGTAAGCTTTGTGCGTCTCAGCAGATAATCTGTAAGAAGTTGAGAGATCGTATCAACGTTTGGCAGATGAAAGAAGATTTGGGTAAGGCATGTGTACTTTTAGCATGGTAGAGGGGATTTCGAATTTAGGTTTTTTTTACATTTCTTTGCATTTCTATCAACCAGAGATCATAACAGAAAGATTTATTTATCAATAACCTTCCCTCCATTTGTACCGTTATGTGATGTGTAGCTTGTGGATCTTTTCTGCAATCTACAGTCCAAATCATCCGTTCCTTTGTCAAGATCAATTTTTGGATGCTGACGAGCTAAAAACTTTAATCTTCCGGTATATATTCATGTAAAAGAGAAGAATTGGAAAGGGCGAGAACTGCCAGGACTGGAAGGGAATCTGCTGGAACAAACTAAGGATAACCCAGGATTCGTTAACCCAAGATCCCACGTTAAACCATTCTTCTTCTTCAGGCCTTAGAAGGGTTCAAAGTAGAGCTGCGTGACTGGAAAAATAAGCATCACTTACCCTGCGATATGGAAAATAGTAGATGTTAAAACATGATTTATTTATTACATGTTCAATAAACCATAAGGCATCTTAAAAGATAACAACTTCTTCAATCAAGCTGAAGAGCAATAGATTGGAATTCAAGTTGGAGAAACCCGTAACACCATTGAAATGATAAAATGCAATAACTTAATAGGGGATGTGATCACATGAAAAGTTATACTAAATCACAGTGAGATGATCACTTGTTAAGTTGCATGGAGGATATTATCACCGCAAAATTTCGTGGAATGCTTACATGAGAATGACCAGGATGTATGTATAACGTCTTCTTCTAGTGAAAAAATTTATTTCATGTCCAAATGAGACTAGAAAAAATCTTAGTAAGAAAAGCTTTCAGCGCGTGATTAACCAAAAAACATATGCAAGCTGTGAACATCCTGTTTCCTCACCCTGACCACATGCCTTCTACTTTGAAGAGCTTGAGAAAAGCCAAAAAATTCATCACAAGTTGGCCCACGTCTTCCAAAAACAATCTTGCAACTCAAAAAATTTGCTCTACATATTATCTAGCCCCATTCGGATATGCCGCATACGAGATAACAACAGGTACTAGCTAAAGAGAGACTGAGCTAATCTGTCAGGCACTTCAGTGTTAACAGTCGATTATCAAGCAAATCGAACGTGCCGCCGATTATGCTGCTCTTTGCTGATATCGTCCAGTTTGTCATAATCCTGATCAACGTGATTAGAGTATTCGAAGTCGCCCAGGCGACTTCCATTTAACGATGGACGATTTGAGGACGCCCTTCAACAGAAACCTGGCAGTACAAAGACATGAAAAGAACAAGAAAACACTTGGAAATGTCATATCTGCAGAAGATCATAAATCTCACCAGTACATCAAATCACTGTCCTCTTTATCCATCTCAACAAGAGTTGCATCTGACAGTACAGTATGAGATCGCGTAAACGGCAGCGAGTGCGAAGACATTTTTTCCTCTTGTTTAGCCTGGAATTGAAAGATAAGTTTTCATAAAAAGACTCAATCAATATGAGAAGTCTCAAGGCAGCGTCGCGACAAAGTAGGCATTACCGCTTTTTTTGTAGCAAACATAAGCGATAAGCGGAGTCAAGCGTGGGGTCAGGCGCGCAACCGTGGGGGGGGGGGTCTTATTGGGGAGGGGATGAATAAGAGAAAGGGAGGATCGTGGTTTAGAGCAGACTTCGTCTTGCAAAATCAAGAAGATCAAGGAACGTGATGAGCGCAAGCGGTAGATATGAAACCCTCCCGGAGCCATGTCTTAGTGGCAGTGGTTAAAAGGAGTGATTACACTTCTGAATTACATATCGAGTCTACTGTACGATGTTACAGCGAATTTCAAAACCTTCATTTTTCTACACCAGTGGTGGATCAAAAGGGATGGGCCCCCACTGCCCAAGAGTCGCGAAAATTTTCAAAGCTACTTACATGAGCTATAAAAATGTGCAAGTAACTTGTTCATAGTCTTAAATAATTGAAGTAGACTTTAAGATCTTTTAAAAATTCAAATTAGTCTTGTGAAAAATTTTCTGGGAGATGGATCAGCGAAAATGTTGGCAAGCATCACGAAAAAATTTCCGAGTGCGTGTCTAACGTCACTCACTCCGAAAAAATTTTTGGGGTGCTTCTCAAATTTCTGCCTGTATATAACACTAAAATTGAGAAAAAGGGGGCGTGGGAAATTTTTACAAGTGTTTGGAATGTTTAAAAACTTTTAAAGATTATTAAATTATTCAAAAAATGAACGAGTCACTTGCACATTTTTATAGCCCGTGTAGGTAGATTTCGAAAATTTCGCGACTGATTGTCGGGAGGAGGGATGCCTTCTCCCCCCAATTACTGCCGCACACCTAGTACACTCAAGTGGCTCACCACATAATATGGGTTAATTCTCGTGATAAGCATGTCAAATCACCTTATCTATCTTATTTATATATAAAGCTGAAAGTCTGTTTGTATGTATGTCTGTCTGTCTGTCTGTATGTCTGTCTGTCTGTACGTATGTTCCGAATAGAAAATTTCATTTCTGAACCGATCCGGACCAAACTTGGCACACATACACTTCGGGCCCCGGCGGGTGTCATAGGCTACTTTTCGTCATCGATCGATATCGATTTTATCGATTTTTATCGATTTTTTTGCTGAGTTCACCTACGGGGCTGGGAGTTGGCACAGGGGGGTAATCGAGCATGGGGATTCCGAATACAAAATTGGTTTTCAGGATTATCGATTACTTTTATCGATTTTATCGATTTTTTTGCAAAGTTTGAGCTACGGGGCTGGGAGTTCGCACAGGGGGGTAATCGAGCATGGGGATTCCGAATACAATATTGGTTTTCAGGATTATCGATTACTTTTATCGATTTTATCGATTTTTTTGCAAAGTTTGAGCTAGGGGGCTGGGAGTTGGCACAGGGGGATAATCGAGCATGCTGATCATCCCCAAGGGGGGTGATCAGCATGCTCGATTACACCCCTGTGCCAAATTCCAGCCCCCTAGCTCAAATTTTCAAAAAATCGATAAAATCGATAAAAGTAATGGACGATCCTGAAAACTAATATTGTGTTCGTAATCAGCATGCTCGATTACCCCCCTGTGCAAAATCCCAGCCTCGCATGTCAAAATTTACAAAAAATCGATAAAATCAATAAAAGTAATCGATAATTCTGAAAACTAATTTTGTATTCGGAATCCCCATGCTCACTTCCCCCCCTGTGCCAACTCCTAGCCCTGTAGGTGAACTCTGAAAAAAATCGATAAAAATCGGTAAAATCGACATCGATCGATAACGAAAAGTGGACTGTGACACCCGCCGGGGCCCGAAGTGTATGTGTGCCAAGTTTGGTCCGGATACGGCGGAGCCGGGTAAGCCAGCTAGTATATAAATAAAACTCAGTCTCTGTAAATTTGGTCGTATGTAAGTATGTGGCTTATAGGCTCCTTTGTCTGTGAACCGATGAGGTTGAAATTTGCTCCCCTATAAATGAGATCAGGCGCAGAAGATAGGCTACTTTTTGCGACGATTCACTGGATCCTTCTATCGATTTATTGATTTGTTTAATAACATCTAGGAAAATGAAAGCTATATCATTTATTTTTTCCAAGTTAAGTAGTAAGGGGGGGGGGTAGAGATCATTTACATTTTGCGGTGAGCAGGATGCGGTGTCACGAAGGTGGTGAAGCGAGCCGGTCAAGAAGGACAAATTCACCACGGATATTACTCGTGTGCTGGAACTGACTTAGAGCTGAAGCAGGAGAGGAAGAGAAAATATGGTCTGAAGGGAGGAATGGTAAGCATACATCTCGAAGCAGACGGGCCATTTTGCACCCTTGGCCCGGGCGGGACCGGGAACCGCAGCCAGTACTCTATAAACCATCAAATGCTGCAAATCCTCGTACATTCTCAAGTCTGTGTAGCGTCTTTTAAAACATAATTGACTTGTTTATAAGGGTGAAAAAAAGTTAATATTTCTAGCAGCCTCGAAGAGGCTTTGTAACATTTAAATCATCAATGTAGGTCATACTGTACATATAGGCAAAAATTGTACTAAACATTCGGTAGTCAACGAGTCTCTTGTACAGCTTCGCAGACAGAACTGAATTAGGGTGCAAGCTGCAACTATTTGCAGTAGAAATCGGGCCATCGATCCTTATTTATAACTGTTGAGCGATAAAAACTTGTAAATTTTTGCGCATATTAAACATATATTGATCAATAAAAAGCTGGAATTACTTTACCAGCTCAGTATGCACTGTTGATTCCGCATATGAGCCTCTCACTTTACTGCGACCTATGGCGCAAAAGTTCCGACTTGTAAGCCATAACAGCGTTGTTCCAGACATTCCAAATTCTGATTACAACTGAACTGTTTACGACCATGTACAAGTCATTTACTAACATCCCGGACCTAAAAATCCCATCACAAAATTTTTCAGAAGTTTTGGAATTTGGATGTTGTGCTGGAAATTCCTACCGTAATCCTGCAGCGATGGAGAGCGATGGGTAATTTGTTTTATACTGAAAATCTGATAAAAAATGCATATTTAGTCGAAGTTTTTAGATAGGATGTATACCATACTAGAGGGCATAAAATGCTGATTCCAAATCTGCCTTCCTTATCTGCAGAGCATTTATGGACGAGGAGTTACGAGCGCATTGGAGCAAAAAATTGAATGTGCAAGCAGGAGAAAAATAGCCGTACTTTCCCAGCTCTTCAATGGAGCAGTGATAATCATCAGAGCACTTTATTTAAAAAACACTAAAATAAAATTATATCTTGGCTGCATTACTTGAGAGCTAGTAGCATTTTGACAACTAATTTTCCCCGAAATGCACATTTATTTTTTGGCCCCAAAAAACGCTCACAACTCCTCGTCCATAACCGTTCTGCAGATAAGGAAGACAGTCTTGGAATCAGCGTTTTATGCCCTTTGATATGATATACATCTCATTTAGAAGGGCCGAGTCGACTAAACAAGCTTCTCCAGAACGCGGCACAGATCGTCTGGAAGCAGGCTGGACTTCGTTTTTAGAGCCAAAAGCAAATGGGATATCGTTTCTGCGGAGTCGGGCCGAACACCAAGGGTAAGCGTACTTAGTCAAACACGCTTTTCGGACGGCTATCACACGATTGATATGCTCTATCGAAAAGTGCGCGCGATTTGAAAGTAAGGCTGAAATAAACAAATTGCTTGTTCACAGCGCATATAGAGTCATATGACACCAAAACTGAACCTTATACATGCAAAATTATTTACGGAAGAATTATGCAAAAATATTTAAGAATTTATGTGAAGTAGTCCCCTTTTCAAAATTAGTCCGTCTCCAAAGGACACCGCACGATCTGAGATCGTCTGGAGCATATATTTCCGTCACTTCACTTAAATTTCGGATTTCTTTAGCATGGACGGATGCCCCGGTCAAGAATCTATCCCTGAGCATAGGGACAAATTCATATCGCCTCCTGTCCACCGTTTTCACCCTTATTTTTCAAAAATCGCCTTGTCAGATATCACGCCCCAGCGCCAACTTTTCTGCGTCCTCTCCCTTTAAATTTTCATTTTCAGTTACAGCTTTTTTTCCCAATGTTTTGATGAATTCTTTCATTTTTCCTTCCTCTCCTTCCTCTTTCTTCTGCTCGTGATCTATCCTGATTGATCTGTGAACATGTAGGGCTTAATGAAGCAAAGTTCTATGATTTTGTGGTTTTTCTTTGAGAGTTTGACCTGAATTCGCGAAATTTTCAGGGCAGGTAAATGATTTTGTCAAGCACTAAGTGAGTATGCGGGGACCCACCAATAGTTTGGTATGGGGAGGGGGGGGGGGGTAGAGCAAGGGTTAGAGGGGACTTCGTGAAATATTTGAGAGTCAGAGGAGACTTCTTTTTTGAAAAGCCTAGAAACGGACTCGTGCTGGGCCCCCAGCTCCCTTGTAAGTCTAAGCCCTACAATAATATACATGATAGGTGCGAAAACTTCAAAAAGAGGGTTACAGCGATTAAACAGCCGATACTACTTTTTCAGGCGCCATTTGTGTGAGTGTCAAAAAGATAAGAAACTCCTTGCAATATGTTGAGTTCTTCTCACTATATCAAACCTTCAGTTCATGTAAACGGGAACTAAGAGGGGTCATTCAGGCAAGGGTGGAAGAAGGATCGTTTTCAAAGACGTGCGCTAAGCTCCTACTTGATCCTGGCGTTTACCGTTTGGGAGCGAAAAAAGGAGGCCCAAAGTCTAGAATTCGCATCAAATACAGCAAACTTCACCTTCGACCTGGCCGCCCACCCAGAACTGCAAGCTAGTGCGCGCATGTCGCATTCAGTCATGAACAAATAATCCCAATTGTGTCTCAAAGGCACCATCCACCAAATAGAGGGTAATGAGAATTTGCTTTTATACAATAGTGGTGTCCCTAACTAGCAAGCCCCCGAGTCTCGCTGCAATAGATGAATTTTAAAGCGAGAAACCGCTTCAGAAGGCAGAGGCGGCTACATTGCTCATCAACCGGGTGATAAGGCAACAAGTGATTTTATATAGCCAAAATTGTTGAACATCGGCCCTTCATTATGATCATCATTCGCCACCTTTTTGTCTATCCTGAAGCCGGTGGCGTACCGAGGGGGGGGGTTGGGCAGAACGGGTTGCGAAATTTTTGAAAGTTACTTACATGGGTTATAAAATTGTGCAGATGACTTATATGCAATTGTAATTAATTAAAATAATTTTTTGAATTTTTCAAAAATTCATTTTAGCCATATAAAAAAAATTTTCGGGGTTCTGAGCCCGCGAAAACTTTGGGAAGCATACCAAAAAGTTTTTCGGAGCGTCGCCCCCCCCCCCTCCGAGCCGAAATCCTGGATACGCCACTGTCTGAAGCCCAACTTAGGACTTGCACCTCCAGACCACCCACGTTGGGGCGGAGCCAGCATGACCGTTTCTATGTTCTGAAACATTTTCTCGCTTTGGAACTCATCTTTTGCAACAAGACTTTGCTGGATTTCAGAATATACATCTCGCAAGCTATCGGAGGATGGTATGAAGTATGGGCCACATGCCTTGGCTTCCTGATGTACCTGCGATGGTGGCCGATCCGATGCGATTGAGCGCGTCAAAAACATACTGCAATCAGTGCTTTGAACGGCGGTATGGGTTGAACGTGCTCGAATCGCCTCAGCGCACCCGCACGGACAAAGTTATGAAACCCTTGTAAATTTTAGATCATTCGATAGCTTCTGAAGTGAAAATGTATGAAAAGAGGGTTCGATGAAGTAAGCACAGCGCAAAATTTTCAATACTGAGTTGCAAAGTGCAAGTAACTTACTTTTGCTTGTTGATTATCGAATTGGTTTTTTAGGTCTGTTAAAAATTATAGATGAGTTTCAAATTTTTTTTCAAAAATTTGGAGTTATGGACCCGCGAAAATCTTGGAAAGCTTCCCAAAATTTTCGGAGCGCGCGGCTCATACCAAGCACCCCCTTTCGATAGAAGCTTGTCGCCTCCCCCTCCCGCTCCTAAGTTCTCGGACCGGCATTGCTACGTAATGAAAACAAGAAAGGGCAGCTTACTCTGTTGTAGAAGAATACTCCAAATATGGACAGCATCATGCCGAAGACATTGGCCCCTGAACATAAAGATTTAAGGATCCAAGAAAGGGAGGAGTTTGCTTCAAAATAGAAATAATTGAAGTGACTGATCCAAAAGAAAATATATAATGATAACATAAATGAGAACAATTTCGCGCGATTTTTAGATTGATGTGCAAATGCCTAGTTTGCGAAAGAGGAAGAAATTGTAAGGTAATTAAAAAGGACCGAGATACTTCATGCGTTTTGGAAAGTTGCAATATAATAATAATGTGCTATGCTTGAACACCCACCTGTTACTGGATTGTGCAGAGTAATTAGTGATGAGCCTATGACGATAATTCGTTTTGTGGCATTGCACACGGCATAAGAGAGCGCTGTCAATTCGTGAATCAGTAAAAACGCACAAACACTTTGCAGAAAAGATAATAAGCCCGTCATAGCGAGAAGACACAGCATCCAAAGATCAGGCGAAGGCGCTGCCGGGTCCTGAAAATATGACAGTTTGAGAAAATGCATAAAATTTCATGTGTGATTGTCGAATTTCGAATTACTTTGGATCCAAGGTTGCTGACCATGAGGAAGGCATCTTTGAATAACCAAAATGGAAAGACCATTAGCGCTGCCAGCTGACTGTTCAGTGCCAATAGCCGAATCGGATGTATTTCAGATTCTTTTAGTAGCTGAAATTTATACCGCAGTGATAGCCTGATGCGGTTGGAAACGTTGGAAATAAGGTAAAAGACCTTTTTGACTAGAATATTAAGGAATGAATAAGTACAAGTAGAGAAAAGCGCTGATAACATGCCGATCATGGAAAATGAAAGTTCCGTTGCTGAAGCTATAACCACACCAGCAACGATTGGTAGCAGAGATGCGTAGACCTGAGACATATATGGCTATGGTTCTCAATGTCGAAAGGTCAAACTGACTTTGTAACTGTGTGTTTCCTTCAGGACAACTTTGCTGAGAAAAACAGCAAACAGCGGCATGGACGCTTTAACTGAAAATCTCTATATGAAGTTCAAACGACATTGCCGAAAGAAGGTTGTGAAGAATTATCAGTGTTAAGTAGCTTCGGATGGTTTCCGAAAAGGCTACGTATACAGGTGAGATGACCATTACTCAGCAAATTCAGGTGAATCACATAACAGTCTCTGCGGTTACTGCCTTCACTATTTATCCTCATCACGTCTGTAGATTGATTTCATGAACCTAACTCAAGTCTAAACGTAATTCACACGTCATGTAAGCCATACACACGATACATTTGATTAATCTTGAGCTTTCTTTCTTACTCTCTAATACAAAGTGTCGTTATGCCAGCACCGAATGTGAAAATTTGAACAACTGTAAAAATGCGGTTTTATGAGTGGTGCAAAAAAGAGCACTTTCTGCGGTTTCATCATGACTCCTTTTTTCGTCTAGCAGCAAAAGGCAGCAGCACGAACTACTCGGAAGAGCTTTAGAGGCAGTGTCCGGGCAAAAAGTCGATCTTGAGATTTTGTACTTGGGCCTATTCGCCATGCTGAATCCGAAAATCCACACTGGAGAGCGCGAAAAAGGCGAAAAGGGACTCCAACGCCGTACGGAAATCACAGGTGGGCGGGGTCTTCCCCACTGTGGACTCCCGCTCCCAACTTCCGGAGCGATTTTCTCGGTCTGAATTCAAGTCACGCATTTGCACTTGCCCGGTGGCGATGTCAGGGCGGCTAGCGGAATTGAGAAGACCGTTCCAGAAGTTGAGAGCATATATTCACAGAAGAGAAAACCTCGCCCCTGCTGATTCCCCTCCTGCATTGGAAGCCTTTTTCGCCGTTTTCGCACCTCCCAGTGTGGATTTTCGGATTCAGCATAGCGAATAGGCCCGATAAGCACAAAATTTCAAAATCGAGTTCTTGCCCGGACACTGCCTTCAACAACTTGCACTACCAAAAAACTCAGGAATTCTTATTTGATGCAAAAAAGAACAAGAAGGTAGAGCTCTTCCGAAAACAAGAAAACGTATGCAAACGTCTCGGAAAAGAAGGATTTCTGAACAAGGTAACGGAAACTGTACAGTAGTGTAAAAAGTGCGAGCTTCTCCATGTCATCTGATAAAAAATACAAATGATAAAATATACAAAAATAGCGTCCCACGAGCAAAGTTATCCAGTTCAGATGCAAGGCACTAATACGAACTGAATTGATGAGAATGACTCTTCCTCACCCGACTACCTCGACACTGCTCATTGATGAGACGAAGTGATCGTCTACATAAGCTGTATAGTAAATTGCGGCAAGCAACGTTGTAACTCTTGCCAGATTAGCTCAAAAGTTGATATGTTCTGCTATGCATCGAATTGCAGCTTGCTTCTAATCAGATTACGGATTTTTACTACAAACGTCACTATAGTCTACCGCACTCTAATATGTTTTCACTTGCTAAAGGAAACTCAAGTGTACGAAGAAAAACATAACAAATTGCAAGTTCAAATCGTCTTACTAAAGGGGGGGGGGGGGAGGAGGCTTAGTCGATGTGGCGTTTCTAGAATTGACGCATCATCTTGAAGGACATCGAACGCTGATCCCAAATCTGACTTCTTTGACTGCGGAGAGCCTTTTGATGAGCAGTTACGAGCGTATTTGTAGCGAAAATTCAAACGTCTAAGTAGAAAAAATCATTTAAAGTCTCTCAAGAGTTAAAATAGGACAATAGCGACTGTTAAACTTTTCTATAAAGAGCAAATTTCCTGCTTGCTACCACCGTGCTCGCTATTATTCCATTTGCAAGTTGGAAAAGCTATCACCACTGATTTTTTTCTGATCAGACGTTTAGCTTCTTCACTCATATAACGCTCATCACCCAGAGGCGCTCTGCAGATGAAGGAAACAGATATGAATTCAGCGCAAACCTCTTTGAAACTATATGTATCCCAGCTGGAAAGGCCACTTCGAAGGACCCTTCCCCTGTTAGTACAGTAAAGCATTGCTTACCAGTTTGAGCGTATGACACCGGTACTTTCCAGAGACTGAAGTACGCACTGACGACCGCTAGTGCCTTCCCTGTAAACAGCCGTGGTTATACGATCACAGAAAACTTTTCAAAATCAAAGGCTTATCTATAAAGTTGAACATGGAAAAGGAGAGGATCATCGTAAGCGTTTTGGCTCAGCTATATTTAGAAGCCTACTAGCTGGCACATCCCGGCTCCGCCAGCCCTATCAATACACTACGATAACTTCCATTAACATTTTTTTCACATTTTCCTGCCCTGACCCCACTCCCTCACGTTTTCGTGACCAGCATGCCCTTACCCCCCCCCCCTCCCCTGTGCCAACTCAAAGGTCCGTAGCTCAAAGTTTGCGAAGAATCCATGAAGTCGAAAAAAGTAATGGATCATATCAAGAATTAATGTTGCATTCGTAATCAGCAAACTCATTTACTCCTCTCTATCAACTCCCAACCCCGTAGGTCAAACTTTGATGGAAAATCGATAAAACGAAAACTAGTGAATATTATAAAATCTAATCTTGTATTTGTAATCAGCAGGCTCACTACCCCCCCCCCCCCCTGTACCAATCCCCAGCCTCGTGTGTCAATTGCAAAAAAAATCAATAAAATTGTCAAAAGTAATAAATAATCCAAAATCTAATATTGTATCATAGCGTATCCCTGAACAGCCACACCAGCCCCGCCCCGAAGTATATGTGTGTGCAAAGTTTGGTCCGGATCGGTTCGGATATGAAAATTCCTTTCAGAACATACGTACGCACAGATACACAGACACACGCACAGACGTTCAGCACTACGGTACACATACCATAAAAGTTTACTATGGTAGGTGTACCGTGTCTTTTAAGTTCACTGCACTGTGATCCGACAGTCGCTTTTCCCCAATGATAAACAGCTGAAGGCTATGATTTTCAATCGTTTTTGTCAAAACATAATTTGCAGGGAGCCCGTGCGCATGATTCGATAGTTAGGATAGCGAGATATAGTGGGTACATCCTCCACCCCTCAACCTCATTGCAGTATACGTACCAATGGATATAGGAGTGAGGTACTTGTTGTACTGTGACGACGTTAACTTCACTGCTTTGGTCTCCCACATCCGCAAAAGCGGCACTGAATATACGGGCACCCACATGAGGTTTGATAATGACAACGTCATTGGATATGGATAACCCTGAAAAAGATTATTAACTATGACAATTTAGGCCATGTCAAACGGTTTGGGACTTATGCTACAGATGACTACAAAAACTAGAACTGAAAAAGAGAACTAGTAAAATAAACAGAGATACTGCAAATTGCATGGAAGATAAGTGAAAGAAATACACTGGGGACTGGGTACTGACGAGGAAATGATACCAAGTCGATCCAGCCGTTTGTAACCTATGCGGTTCCCTGGGTTGGCTGCGCTCTGGGAAGAACAACAGCAACGAAAAGTTGCTTTCAGGATACGGCTGGTAAAGTGGTAAATGTGACATAGGTTAGAGGGTCAAAGTGGTAAAGGGTCACATGTTTGTATCCGTTGCGATCATAACTTCTTTTAGTTGAGAAGGGCGTCCAACAGATAATAAATTCAGATTTGAGCTTGAATTGAGAGCCATATAATCTTTTTTATGAACAGTTGGATAAACTTGGTTCCATCCTTTTGTGGATGGAAACAAAGATTTCGAAAAAAAAAAGAATCACAGTATTACCTGGAGCAGCACTTTGTTGGTGATACTGCTAGCTGAGCTGATCACATACCAGCAGATACAAATGGCAATCACACGGACTTTGAATCGACATCCTGGTGCCAGCGTAAAACGAAATCTCATTACAACTGTAATAAACAATAACAAGATAGAGGAGCATAGAGAAAACAAGGAATCCCCACCAAAAAAAGTTTCACAAATTAGCTGCTGGTTTCTTCAATCTATATCTACCAATCCACCCAAAGAATCTAAATGGAGATTCGGGATAAGAAAAGATATGCGAGGCTAAGGTGAGGTGATGCGCGGCTGGCACAACTGCAGATGATATCTACAACCAGTCCAACGCACTGTCGGCTGATGGAAAAGAAGCATAAAAAAATCATGGTTAAACCAAACGAATTCCGCAAACAAATTATAGCAACACTTTATAGACAGGAAATTGATACAAGTACGCGAGCATCACATATGGAAAACTATTTCCAACATCAAAGTTCTGTATGACGTTGCAATTTGCCCAACAGTCACCGTAATGGAACAACACCATGACCCTACGTTATTATCACAGCGAGGAACGTGTGTGGACGAAGAAATACACGTGCTAAATTGCCAGAAATTATTCAGGCAACATTATGAAAACAATGGAATTTCGAGCGTCACACAGGTGCACGATGTGACGCCACGCGGCGACGGGTTTTTAGAGTGTTTTATCTGATGAGTGGCAGCATTAAGAATGACGTAGAACAAAGCGAAAACGACATACTTTGACAAATATGACTAGCGAAAACCGCACAGAACACCCATAGTCTGTATGAAGCGCATGACAGCTTCACTAATATAACTATCAGATGAGAGAAAAAGTGCAGCCAAACAAATCCCCAAAAACCACGAGAGCAACACATATGCCTGACTCCGAAAAGTGCAAACTCGGCAGTGAATGCGTAGTTGTGGGAAAAAAAGACGGAGGAAAGGATAGTGAATACCAAGAATTAAACCATGAAATACGAAGAGCGTCAATATAATGAAAAGAAAATCTTGAGATAAGAACTATAACCGTCGTTTATGGTTTCAAAAGACATCGAGAATGGGCGATAATCAATACTGGAAAGGCAATGTACCAGCATTCTCACCCGAATCCACAATTTGTGACCAAAACTTCTGATCCTTGGAGTGGCAGAAAACTACCATTCACTCTTCATTCCTCGATGTTTCATAGATAGCCTTTATACTGGTCAAGTAGAGCATCGAATAGCGGATCATTCCATATACTTTTCGCGAGTAAATACCTATAATTGCCCTCTTTCTGAAGATGGTTGGAACGGTATGCATAGTTCTTCGTTTTCTCAGATGATCTCAGAGACAGACCATTGCTTCTCCGTGATTTCCTGTTCTCCAGTTGCGAATCTGTCTTTGGGAAGCTGTGCAATAATGAGCCGTAACCGACGCATACTTTTATCGAAATCCACAACTTCCTGAGCGTCTAATATTTTTTCGATTACAGGAGTCGCTGCTGAAACAGTAAGAATTACCGTTAAGAACCAATAGATTCAAAGATAACCAAGAGAAGGAAGAATGCAGTCGCATAATGACGCTTTGAGAAGGTGCTACGATAAGATGAGCACTCTTTCAGAAAATAGTATCAAGAGCTGTAGTCAAATTTTTTGCGTTTCAATATGGTACGAGAAGGTTGTGCAAGTAAAAATGTAGTGATGAGCAAACTTCCGGATGCGTCACATGTATGAGAAATTGGAGTACTGCTGCTTCAAAAGTACACCATACGCTGTACAACCACAAATAAGTGCCTGCACTGTTCTACCTATACTGCAGTGGCGTACCCAGGATTTCGGCTCGGGGGGGGGGGGGGGCGCGACAAAAATTTTTTTCTAAAGAAGGTGCGTGGCGTTAGCCACGCACTCCGAAAAAATTTTGGGGTTGCTTACCAAAATTTTTTCTGGTCCCCGACCCCTAAAATCTGGAAAAAGGGGGCGTGGCGTCAGCCACGCCCCCGAAAAATTTTTTTTTACAAGGCTAATTTGAATTTTTAAAAATTTTTAAAAATTATTTTAATTATTTACAAAAATAAACAAGTCACTTACACATTTTTATAACCCATATAAGTAACTTTCAAAAATTTCGCGACCCATTCTCGGGGGGGGGGGCGCGCGCCCCCCCCCCCCCCCGCCCCCCCGCCCTCGGTACGCCACTGCTATACTGATATTTAAATGTGATGAAAGAAAGTTTGGTGGTGTTCACCAAAAGGCTTCGCATTAACGTTGCTTCTTCTTACCATTGATTAGACGGGTGGTGAACATATTTATATTTTAACTGAGTTTATATTCATGCTGTTCTAACTCAAATAAAATTCTGCTTTGTTCGATCAAGATCACAATTCACAAGAAGTAGCATGAGGAAGGAGAAGGCGAAGGCAAATTAAGCATCAAGTGAGATACTGAGTTTCCACAAAACTTTCAGACTAGTAGTGGTTTACAGAAATGAAACATGAGTGATAAAACAAGAAAAAATAACAAAACAACAATTAAAAACTCACGTGGGTATGACCCGGACAGGCCATCCTTCCTAGGTTTGATGTCCGCAAGTGGAAGGACAGCCCACTCATTGTCATCGTTGACACGAATCCTGGAGTATATGCTTCGCAGCTGCGTCAATAGTGCGTTGTTTAACTACTATGTAGTATGTAGTAGAAATGGATTTTAGAAGGAATAAAAGCATAAATAAAAGCTGCTCTTCTCCTTCCCTTCACAAAAAAGCGCGTAGAGGTCTAACACCTAAGCAATAGCGAGATCGCTGTGAAAAGCCAATTTCTGCAATAATCTAAGGACCAAAACTTGCTGTCTATCATGGGTAATGTCTATTCTCCAATAATAAAACAATGTCAAGATACTCACCTCCTTGAATCACTGAACATTGACCTCAGCAATTCAGCTCGCTGTTTTATGATTGTTTCCGAAAAATCCGAAGACTTCGCGCGAGTATGCAGCATCACTGAAAAAGAAATGATCTCACAAAGCGCACGACTTCACGAGCCATACATATCTCGGCAAAAAAAAATCCAAACACCTGTAATGTAACACAAGCAAATTTTTAAAGCGATTAAAAGAGGAACACCAAAGGCGAAATACCATGGGTTCACGCTACAACATCAAATCTGAACAGATGGAGGAAAATCAAACTGACCTAGATTTACCTTACGCGTGGCGTTGTACTGAGGAATAATTTCACGTATGTGCTCGAAATTTGCCCGAAACATTTCAGCCGTTCGAATCAGCTAAACAAATACGGCCTATAAGCTAATTAAACAGTCACATACATTATTCTGTCAACTGGCTGCTTAAAATAAGAAAAAGATTGTTTCAACGACTAAAAAAGACGCATAAAAAAGTTGTTGGTCTGTTCAATCAATGATTTTTCACAATTCTCGCAAACAACGCCTTAAATTAGCTAATCTGCATTTGGGATAAGCTGACGACTTGACAAAATTACAAATCTAGGATACCGCTTTGAATAGAATTATGGTGAATGGGTAAATCAGCACGGGTTCTTAACCCCTCCATAGTATGAAACCTGTGCCTAGCTACTTTAAGTAAGCGATTTTTGAAGAATATGCACACTAACGTATGATAGCACTCCTGCAAAACGCGCGCATTATATCAGATCGTTGTACGGTTCCTTTCCAAGCAAAGGCTATAAGTTGCAATCTTTTGTTACGGACAAACATTGTTCCCATTCCTTTTCTTCTTGATATTTCGCAAGATAAGATTCTATTCTGATGCAGGCATGGTGGAAAGTTTGCAACACCTACTCAACTTCGTATTAGCATCTGAAACCTAAACAGGGAGCTCAAAATAGCAGTCAAAGTTATGATATTTTCCATCTAAGAGCAGGACCTTGTAAGAATATTAGGATAATGGATTTGAAAGCGGCCAAGGGCAAAGGAAAACTATCGTTCTGTTGCTAGCTACAGCACATAAAACGAAGCTGTGGAAATAAAGAGATAATGCAAGAAAAATAGATGATCAAAGGCTTCAACTTCTATGCATGGTCCATGAACTAAAAATCACCACTAAGTCGGTGATTTTGGGCCCCGACTTGGTGTCGCTCGTCTCAATCTCAAAACCGCGCGCCTCTTGAAATCTTTTTTTTCTTTTTTGGAATAGCCGACAGAACTTGAAAACAAACCTTTATGGTCTCGATATCCATGATCCAGTCCGAGCATACAAGAATAGTATGGGAAACTTGGATGAGGAAGGCAATAAGTTTTATTATCTGAAAATCTGGACATAGCAAAACATGTAGTACAAAACAAAACTGGAAAACAAAGCTGAAAAACAAAAAAAAGACAGACAAAACTGGGAAACAAGTCTTACCTCAATATAGTTGTTTATAGCGTATCTCCCATCAGTCAAAGAAGACCTACTGTACCTCAAAGCCTCATCTAAAACTGAGGCACAGTTCGCAGCCTGAATGAAACTGAGAAATTTGGAGCTAAAAATCAACGGACAGATACCTGACAATCCAAGAAGATCTGCTTTGTCTTGGTAATATAGACATGTATTTTCGTGGTTTGGTGTCGAGAGCTCTCTAAAGCTTCACGGGATGCAGGACGGAATATGTACTGTCTAGACCGGGCCAACTAATAGCGGCATAAATGGTAATTGAACACTACTACCTGTACATGTCCTGTGAATTATTTCCCCCTATCATACTCAAAACAGTTGATTTTCCTGCACCCTGAGGACCGATCGCACAGATGACATTGTAATTGCTGTTCTCACTACTCAAAAAGTCCTGCAAACAATTACGCAAATTTGTAGAGTGAAAAGGAACAAAACAAACCATCAGCTGATCGCATATATCCATATTGTCATTGACAAATTTTACTCCATCAACCATGGTGGCGTCTTTGGCAAGCAGTGTCGGTGCATGCTCTTTTCTCGGCTTTTCCGTTGAGGACACATTTCTGGCAGCCAACACAACGCCTCCTAGAACTAATGTTGTTCGGCCAGAATTCATTTTTCACACCCTTTCAAATTCAAATGATCTAATTTGTTACTGTACCGTGACATATGATTATATGACTGATGGCAAAAAAAGAAGAAAAAATTCAGTCGCTGTGTTTTTACAGCAACTACATCTATAGTCGCTTCATTTCATATGATCATATGTGTCATTGCACACACAGTTCACCTTTGGCGTCCCCATCCTGGATTCGTGGGAGAAACAAGCCTTCAGGTAAGTGTTTCCAAGGTGTTCTTGGCGTTTTCTTTCCTTTTTAATTACTAGTCATCTCAAATTGATGTAATCGATAACAATCGGTAAGTCTCTTGCGTTTTTGCGATTGCAAATCCAGGATGAGGACGCCAAAGTGGACTGTGTGTGCAATGACACACATGATCATATGAAATGAAGCAAGTGTACTTGTAATTATAAGCAAGCTTGTAGTGCTCACTATAGCCCTCAAGTACTACTGAAGCTGGCATCTATATTTTTATATGAAGATTTAGAAAAAGCAAAAGGCAAGACGATTGAGAAGCCGTAGCTTGTATTTATCTAACAGAATATTTTCCGTACAGCAATTAGTGATTCCCTCGTCTGCCAATTTTAATTTCCGATATTATCAACACCGGACGCCTCGGATGTATTTCAACAAGCAATTATTAAAACACTGCAGGGAAGCATTGCAATGTACAGTACCACGCGATTTACAGCGAGGTGAGGCCATGTCTAGATCATGAACAATTAAAAGAAATACATAAACTGTTAGCTTATTGGTAAAGGTACATAATGCAAAGAATCATAAATTGGCACGTTAGCAATAAACATGAAGATTTTACTATCAAAAAAACAAAAGTAGAGGGCACAGATACCCAACTCACTACGAATATGCATACTCAAAATGACTTTTGCTAACCTCCACGTCGCTCTCTCGGCGCCGAGAATGTAGAGCGTTGCTCACGATTGGACGTCGCATCATCGTCTTCTCGCCGTGGTAACAATAGCTGTACGCCGCCAACACGGTTAGATAGGTGATCGACATCATCCTTGAACAGAAAAACTAGGCTATAACATCGGATCGATACTATTACGCAGAAACTGCTATTGTAATGATGCTCGCTAATGTAGAAGAGGTAAAATAAGTACACTATCATCGGTGCGATCAGCGCGACGGCTTGCCGTGGTGCTGCTACCGAAGAAAGCAGGATCGCGAGATTGTCGTGACCATCCTCGATAAGGCTCACCGCTGCCTCGTTTGCCACGCATTGTCATGCCTCAACAAAACAAGAGTAAAGTAAACACGGCAACCAAAATTTGATTGAAAAAGGGTGATAATTCGGATGAAAAAAAGAGGCCGACAGACTAGAAAGATTAAACTGGAAAACCATGGACCTCATTCCAGATAATCCATACTTCAGAGCACCATTTATACCTTCTTTGACCTCGTGCAGGAATTACTTTGCGATATACAACTGTTTCCTACACGATGATATACATAAAAACATGCCAATAGCTAGAGAAAATGTCCGCGTGATCAAAAGAGGTGGGGCTTTGGTTTTATTTACACCAAAAAAGCAAGAGAGTGTCTTCGAGGATGCGAAAGACTGCGAAGTAGGAGTGAACGATTGTATGCTGAGAAGCGCTATTTTTTGCCGCCAATTGCTAGGCTAACATCAGATGCACATTCAAAAGTATTTCATTGGTTTAATCTATTCCCATGTGTTGCTAAAAAGAGTTAGCGAAACCTTACAAAACAGTCCTAATATTCGAGAATAGAACTGAAAAAATAGACACAGAAGTCCAAGTCAGAGGTCAGAGGTATATATATCAGCACACGCTCTCCATAATGAAGTTTCCATAAAACTTTGCTAGAAGAAGTTATGACATCCTAAGCACATAAATCGCCGCTAAGCGAGCGAAAATGGTTCCCATCTTATACTCCACAAAGTCGATATTCCTAGTGAATAGAGCTATAAACAGAAAGCGTATCTCAGAGTATTCCAAAACGAAGTACGATTAACTCAGACAATCGCAAATGACTTCCGAGGCAAACTGAAGTCCTAACACTTCCGTGCAGACACTCCTACTGGAGCTATCAGACAGAGAGGGGCCAGATAGGACGGGGCCCACTCGCACGGCCCAATAGGGAGCGTCCCCCCGGAAGCTTTAGAAGTTCAGTTCCCCGGAAGTCATTTGCGATCTGAGAAGGCACTGCCATGATGATGTTTCATGCTATATACTTTCTACAGCATGAAATTCCAGACATTGTAAAGGAGCTGGAGCTGCAGATCTAAATGAGGAATACTCACAAACGAACTTTCTCTCTGTAAATCACAGTTTGCCTGCGTTGTGGTTCAGAACATCCAAATATGTACTTTTTATATGCACTTTCTGTACTTTTATACTTTGATGTGATTTCATTATGAATTAAACTAGCTTCATGGAAGGGATTTGTGCGGACAAGATTTTTGACTTTGAAAGGCTGAGTATACACGATTCATGACACGCAAAGAATGGGCGCCGTTACGTCCTGCCAAGATAGTTTGTGCATGGAAGAGACAGCAGACGGTAAGAGAAACGAAAGAGCTTGACCAGAGAGACGCCGGTAAGTCCGCGGTCTTTGCGTGCTATGAATCGCCTAATTTTCGCTTTGGCCGAATGGCTCACTCTCCTTCACTTCTTCCTGCATGGAGGATGGGGCAAAAGCTTGAGTGCGTGGATTTCATCCGCGGAGAAAACAGGTGAAAAGTGACAAGACTATGATTTTGAAGCTTCGGCCATACTTACCCGGGTTAACTGTGTTAGCCCACCAGTGTTACTCGCATTTGTAACATTGGTGACACTGGTAACATGGGTTATGTACGCCCGAAGCATAGTATTCCTTCCAAGACTACCGAAACGAAGTAAGTCTTAGTTTTCCCGGGAGTTCAAGGAAACCTCAAGATGAATTTTTAAAGAACTCACGTCAAAAGTAAGAAAATGACAGATAATAGACCTCGCACGAACCACGTCCAAATTGAAAAAGACGTCAGATAAATAGTGGTGTTAGTGCGGACTTCGTGAAATACCGTGATTTTTTTATTTGTCTACTAGGTTTGTATTCTTTTCTCTTCACTGTAGTTCATGCTTTTGCTAAATTTGAATCAGATATCAAGGCGACAGTGAATGCTGTAATATAAAAGTTTAGCTAGAAACCTTTTTCAGTTCGGGAATGACAGATGATGTTGGTCCATCCACTGCTCAGTTTTTTACAACCCATACACCTTCAGATCATCCCAAAGACGCTGATCCTGTTGATAAGGAGATCGCAAGTTTAGTAAAAGTAAGTTATTTTTCGTCAGTTCAGCTTTTGATGAGCACCCTCATTTCTAAGATCTAGTGACTGTTTCTAGGATTTCAGTGACGATGAGTTGCGGAAGTTCTTCAGTTTAGAGGATACAATTCAATGGATAATTACAAACTCGTATAGGCGGGTTGCTCTTCAACTGCCAGATCAATGCTTGTCGCGAGCTTGTCGCATCGCAAAGTTGATAGAATCTCACACGAACGCCAAAACATTCGTACTGGCAGACACTTCGTACCGAAGGTTGGTTACCTGTTCTGTTTTTTCGTTCTGATGTAGTCGAATCGAAAATCTGTCTAAATGAGGCTTGAGTTGAGCTCTATTGTAGTCTCGACCCATCTGATGTTATCTGCGCTCTGGCGCTGTTTGACTGCAGCTCCATTCTGTGGATATTCTTTCCACTGACCGTTTAGCGGCAAGGAAAGGCCTTGCATTCCATGTCTTTGACTTATGTGTTGCGAAAGAAAAAGTGAAGATGTTTTGCTCGTTATCTTGGCCGTATAGTTGGTCGCTTTTGGAAACAGAGGAAGCTGAATGCTCGGTATCTTGGTCAGCCTCAGTTTGTTAGCCAGCCTTTCTACAAAAGTGGCAAAACGAATTAAGCAGAAAAGGTTAACGGAGCAAGAAAGCGCAATAGCTGGTGACGTCGTACCCAAATTTAAAAACTTATGCACTAGATGGGTCGAGATTCGGCGAAGATACGTCAAGGTATGAGTATACATTGTCGTAAGTATGCGGAAGTTAGTAATTAAATGTCGTTCATTTATAACTCTATTAAGAGTTACAGTTGTTGTGTCGATGAAGTTGCTGCCGCTCATGCTTCTTGCGATGCTATAGTCCATTATGGAGATGCCTGTTTAAGTGCTCTTACAGAAAAGATACCTGTCAAGTAAGTCCTGCCATTCGAATGCTTGAGTGGATTTTATCGAGAATAGTGCTACTTTTTATAACAAAACTTCTTTTGTTAGTTTTCTTTCCGGCGTTATTTTGTTGTTATAGATTCGTTTTTGGAAGTTTCCCTGTGGATATAACGGCATTTGAAGGTGTCATGCCATATCTGAGCTGCACCAAAGACAGGCCTGTTCTTCTGCTTACCGATGCCTGCTACTCCGATAGCATGGGTGAGTGATCGTGAAGCTTTCGCATCATGTTCATAATCATATAATAATAGAACTCGTTGTAGCCGCACTCGAAGAGGCTGTTGAGCGTTGCCTTCCCTCAACGCAGATATATCGAGCTGCTGTTGTCGATCCTACCCAGGAGATCGCCCATGATGTTCTAAATAATGTGGGTTTTTCTAGATCTTTACCTTTGTTTCGTGAAGGAGGTAGTCACCAGTGACACCATCTTCTCATGTTTGTTAGTTACTCGCACAGAAGGCACTCATTTTAGACACTTTCCTTTGGTCGTATCATGCCTCGAGAATTGTGTGAGGCTTCATCTGTATTTTTGTGTTTTGTTGGGGGTACAACTAGTCCATTACTGTCGTTATGGTTGATGACGTATCCTCAATGTGAATCTGTGATAGTTTTTGATCCACAGACTTCCGCGATCCAGCAACAGTCGTGAGTTTTTCAGCAGTTCTATAAAATCTTTTTCTATCTCCTATAAAATACGAGACCATCTTGAAGTTTGTTACATCGCTAAAGAGGAGTTGCTTTATCTTCTTCTACAATCTCAGCCTTGTTTTTTGTGATATGTCTACTTTTGCACCCTTTTGAAAGATGTCTGCTTCTTATATTTTTTTTATCACGGCAAAGATCTCCATATCTATCCATATTCAACATTTTTGCACGGAATTTCACCATTGGGCTCTAGCAGTCTGCATTCTTAATTATCTCAAATAGCAAGTCTACTTCTGACTGGGTGCTTTTTTCGAAAAATTTCGTTGAGACTTGCCAAACCATTGTCTTCTTTTTAATTTTTTCTGGAACTAGAGTCGATATGTTTCAAAGGATCACCTTCTTTCGTTCTTCCTGTTTTTTCGCTATCATCTAGATGCAACTGGGCTAGTTTCGAGGTACTGTTTGCTCCAGTCGGGATCAGGCCGAACCGTCGGCGTAAATTTGCGGCTGCATGTGCGCGCTGTCGGAGAGAGCAAAAGGATTGAAGAGAGAGCAGAGAAGCAGGCCGTAAGCGTGACCGCGAAACGCTAGCGACGTGGACTCCCGCCATGCCAGTTTTGGTCTCGATGGGAAGAAATTTTGCACTATTCTCATAGTTTTGGCGGTATTTCCAAGTACGTTTTCGCTCCAGGACCGTCTGTTCACAACTAGCGGAGAACGAAGGAAATTTTTTTTGCACTTGTTTGAAAAGCGATCACAGTTCGGAACTGGGATGATCACTATCAATAAGAAGAGGATAAACAGAAAAAGCTTATTCATGAAAGCGAAAGTTTTGATCTTTCGGGTCAGACTGCACCTCAAGGCCAATCTGAATTTCGATGCGTCCTTTAGCTGTCTTCTCTGTTCATTGTTTTTCATCATTTTGAGCACGTAAACGAAGCTCACAAAAAAATGGTTGCGTACTCATTAAAAAACTATACAGAAAATGCACTTTTCACTATTTTTCAAAGAATACTTCACTGGTAGAAAAGTAAGTTCTTATGTTATCAGCGTATATGTAGACATCAAGAGCTACAAAATGATGTGCGATTTGCTAGGGTTAAGTTTGAAACAGCAGAGAAAAGGACTAGAGAAATGCTCCCTCGGAGCACGTGAGGAAAGCGAGATAGCGATAACTGAGGAGCGCGCGATAAATGGATGCGCAGGCGAGCAAAGGAGAGACAGCAGAGACTATGGGGCATTTAGTTCCGGTCGTAGATCTCCGCGGAGTTAACGAAATCTTGCAACATTGAATACTGATCTGATCATCAGGAAACAACTGTATACACTGTGAACATTCGACAAGAGACCTGTAACGAGAAAGCCGCCTTTTTGCGTGCAGACTTTCGCAAGTTCGTGCACTTTTTAGCTTTTATTGGACTTCCGGATTACCAAGACTCTTTCATAGTGCAAGAACCGGTCACGCGATTAAAAATATTGTTTTTCCAAAGAAAATGCTTACAAAAATGTTGCTTTTCACGAAAAGGCTATGAGGAACCCAATTTCAAAGCGCTGCTGTAATATCATGAAGTTACCACTCACTTTATTAGCTTCTCCATATTCTTGATATGGTTGTGAGCTTGGTATCTGCGGGTTTGTCGCGGATAATTTTGTTTTTTTCATGAAAGTAAAAATGTGCTTTTTTATCGCTTATGCTCGACAAATATCATTGTATACTGGGTTATCAACTGTCATTTAAGTAACTGTCAGCATCAAAATTATCCCCTAATGCATCGCTGTTACCGTGAGTGAAGATCTAGGTTTAGGTGAGGTGATATTATGCAAGAGAGCACCTACTGTTATCTAGATGCAAAGTAATGGTCTCTTGCCACATCGTTTTTGACCTGATTATGATTTATCAGGGGTTGCTATCTGTTTTATTGCGCACTAGCGCTTCATGCTCAAAAAATTGTGACTAACTTATCACAGCAAAAGTCTGGTTGATCTGGCAATCGCGACTTAATTGAGCCTTTTAGTATAGAAGTGACTAGCTGGCAAACCCGGCTCCGCTCGGCCCTGTCATTATTATATTCGTAATCAGCATGCTCGATTACCCCCCTGTGCCAACTCCCAGCCCCGTAGCTCAAATTTTGCAAAAAATCGATAAAATTGATATCGATTGATAACGAAAAGTAGCCTATGACACACTCCCTGCCCCGAAGTATATGTGTGCCAAGTTTGGTCCAAATCGGTTCAGAAATAAAAATTTCTATTCCGCACATACGTACATACAGACATACATACACACATTCAACTTTATATATAAGATATCCTAATAGGTGTAGATATTGCGATTGTCGTCGAAGAAGCTAATAGTTCCTAACAATCCATAGTCATAAAGTCTTGTATACCACCTTCTGACTGCAAGCTTAAGTAAGTAGCATAGATTCGATTGGCTAGTGCCTAGTCATTCAAAAAGTGCTAGGCTGGTCTCACGGTCAGTGACATTGTCTTTTTTGGCACAGAAGCTTCGCTGTACTCTTGTAGATATTGGTAGAGGTCTATCTCAGCATATTAGGCTTTGAATCTGTAGGGAAGGCTTTAAGAAAGGTTTTGTGGAAGCGAAATGTTGCAACACAACCGGACATTGCAAGCATGGGCTCATTGTCTGGTCGTTGGCGAGTTGAAACGTAATTAGGATAGCAAGAAGACTGAACACTGCGGGACAATCCGTTGTTGAAAATGTCAATAATTGGCCGTTGTTCAACCTTTTTGTGCAGGTACAGTAGTGGAATGGAAGTGAAGGTGGTTTATGGTGCTGTTCCAAATAATTTATACCTTGATAAGCATCTTTGATGGACTGTCAGACATGTTTTCGATAATAGAGACAACAAGCTGATTTTTCGAAGTAAGTGAACACAGCTATTGTTGGTCAAAGAGCATTGCTTCAGAGTTGTCAGTCAAATATTCTTTAGATTTGTCTACATTCATTTTTTGAGTGAGAATACACGAATATCTAAAAAAAGTAAGATAAGGCGGTTTTGCTTCTCGTTGCTTTTGTCCAAGCTAAATTTAATAATCTTTTCTAATTTTGAAACATATATTTGTGAATCTCTTTGCGATTTATGATGAATCAACAAAAAGGAAGCTGTTGTACGACCAGAATTTTGTCATGTTTAGTGACTTTATAAGCTTTATTTACTTTCGCGGAAGCCCCCGGGCTCTTGCTATTCAAGTTTCTCTTGCGCATCCATCTAGGCTGAGGAACGAAGGATAATTGTTGAAGTTCTTTTTGGGGAAAACACTTTATCTCAGAGAAGTTTATGTATGAACTATACGAAGAAGCAAAGTTTCAATAGATCTGCCACTCTTACATCAAATTTCAATCGTAACCTATGTAGTTCTGGACTGTCGTCGCACTTTTTTCGCTTTCAGTGTCTTCGCTTTCAGCAAGTATCCAACTGATCCTTCATGCAGGGCTTTCGGCGGAATATCTGCAGAGTTGTCCTCTAAAATTTCTTGCTGGTCTTGGTATTCATTAACGCTGTTGGGGGCTTCAACACGGGAGGATCGAGTTGGACAAGGGCAGTACTCCCCGTCCATGCCCGTAATGCCGGGTTCACCAGGTGCACCTGGAGCGCCATTGAGACCTGCTTGTCCTTGTCGTCCCGCTGGTCCCGGTGGTCCTGGTAGTCCAATCGGTCCTTCGTCTCCATTCGCACCGTTCACTCCTGGATTCCCTTCAGCTCCAGGGTATCCTGGAAGCCCAGGTGGACCTGGATGTCCGCGACCTTTCACGCCGTCTTGTCCGCGTATTCCAGGGGCACCTGGTACTCCTGGCATCCCAGGAATCCCTTGATCTCCGACAGGACCAGGTGGACCAGGTAGTCCAGCGATTCTGTATGGTCCGCTTGATGCTCCCGGAATACCATCAGGGCCAGGTGGCCCTATAGGTCCATCGGGACCTGGCAACCCTGGAGGTCCAGCCGGGCATTGTACGCAGCCTCCTGCTGAATCTTGAGAAACAGATATGCCAGGCGTGCCTGGTCTGCCATCCACTCCACGAGGCCCATCTTCGCCTGGCTTTCCCACCATTCCAGGAGGACCTTGTGGTCCTGCAGGGCAGCTACTGGCTCTCTCTGCGCAGTTGCATATTGAACTCTCATAAGGCTGTCTCTTTTGACGATGGAACAATGCACGAAGCTCTCCTTTGTCATATTTCACTGCCGAAAGCTGTATCTCCTGCCAAGCGTCATTGACGTAGTACTAAATAACGGATGGTATGCTTATTAATGAAACATCTATGCACTTACTCACCTGGAATTCGCTCATCTCCAACAGTGCGTCTTCGTAGAAATGGTTGATGTCATGAAAAATATAGCCAACGATCACTATAGACAAGATTGTGCAAAAGGTAGTTCCACAGAAGAAATATGTTGCTATCCGCTTACCCGACATTGTCAGCAAATATTGTGAGCAACAATTCCAAGACTCCTTATATAGGGAGGTGAGGAGGCTAACCATCTTTTGCGTGTCTTGTTTCATAATAGGGGCTTGCGTAAAGCAATTAATGCATCGTCGCCGATTTGGCCAGTTTCAACGAACAAGGTGACATGCTCATCATTTCCGAATAGAGAACGGAATGGGAGGGTACTTGACCTTAGGTGTTCTTCAATTGTTCAACAGTGTGGGCTGGTCTGTATCATGAGTGTTGAAAACGCCTTCCATTGAGTATTTTTTTGCTAATTGGTGTTTTCTCCTCAATTCTAAGTGGACAATCAAGTGATGCTGCTTCCTTTTGTGGATTGTTGACTGAGCACTCGGCTTTCCAACATCATGTCCTCACAACGAAATTCGTCCCGTTATGCTGAAGTCTAACGAAATCTACGCGAAAAATCCGAAACATTGTCGTCGACAGCAGAAATCTAGAAGAGTTCACGTAGCTTGTAGTTCACCAGCGGTGTTTGTTGACGAGCAGTTTCATTTTGGAGTCATTGATTTGATATGGGGAATTTGCTACGGTGTCAAAATTTGAAAGGATTACGTTTATACCGAACTCTGCAGTTTGATACCTAGACTAATAAATCGAGGGATGCCTCGAAAGATTTCGTTCTGCCTAGTCTCAGCATCGCCATTTTTCGTCAGTTTCAAACACTTGGTCATCTCTATCTCAACTGCGCTTATAACTCGAGTAAAAGAAACCCTTGCCTCGAAAGATTTCGTTCTGCCTAGTCTCAGCATCGCCATTTTTCGTCAATTTCAAACACTTGGTCATCTCTATCTCAACTGCGCTTATAACTCGAGTAAAAGAAACCCTATCTAGTGTAAGAGTAGCTACAAAGTTGATGATGCCGGTATATAAGCATTATGCATTGCGTTTCAATTACTGTTGGCGTGGGCAATTTCGCAAATCCAAATAGATATGGTCGAAAGCCTTATGTTTAGTATACTTGGGTAATTCGAGAATTTTTCATCGAATGAATGAATAGCGAATAAATTCGAAAAGGAAAAATTTCGAATAAACGAATATCGAATAAATTCGGAAAATCAAAAATATCGATTGAATGGATTTCGAATAAATTCGGAACATCAAAAATATCGAATGAATGAATTTCGAATAAATTCGGAAAATCAAAAATATCGAATGAATAAATATCGAATATATTCGAACATTGGAAGTCGAATTTTGAAAAAATATTTGAATGATTTATCGAATAACTAAAGCAATCACATCTCAAACTTGCAGACATATCTGGCTAGAGCCGACCCAATCATAATCAGCCCCTATTATCCCCTATACCAACTCCAAGTTCAAAATTTTCCAAAATAAAGTAGATTTCGGTTTTAATCAGCATCCTCATTTACCCCCTGTACCAACTCCCAAGCTCGTAGCTCGAGATTTTCCAAAAATCGATAAAATTTATAAAGTAAATTTTTATCCATAATCAGCACACTCACTTACCCCCTTGTACCAACTCTCAGCCCCGCAGCTCAAAAATCCCCAAAAATCGATAAAGTCGGTCGGTCGGCATCTAGTCTATACATCAGCAAAAAGTCATATTTCACCCATTATGGACGATCTAAAAAGCAGTCGATATAAATTTTTATGCTGTGTCCAAAAGATTCTTCTTCAGATGGTCTGAAAGAAACTGATGTATACCAGAATTAACTTTATTTCTTATCAGCATCAACAACCTAAAAGCAAAGGGCTTGCTCTACTTTCTACATCAGTTAAAATCCACATATGATTTTTTTACTGTCGCAAGCAGTCGGAAGAATGCGACTCTCCATACAGTTCAAAGGTATAACGGTTGCAAAAGATGCATTACCGAGTTTTGCGAAAAAAAAAACGCGGACGAAGTAAGCTTGATACTCAGCTCTGACTACAGAGTTCATTCGAATACGAATTCGAATAAACATTCGAATAAAATCTATTCGAAACCCCGTTTTTTGATTATTCGAGTTTTCGAATAATATTCGAAATCTCGTTTTTTGATCATTCGAGTTTTCGAATAATATTCGAAACCTCGTTTTTTGATTATTCGAGTTTTCTAATTTTATTCGAAACTCTGTTTTTTGATTATTCGAGTTTTCGAATTTTATTCGAAACTCTGTTTTTTGATTATTCGAGTTTCGAATAGTATTCGAAAATGGAAGATTTCCGAATATCGAATTTCGAATACGAATATATTCGAATGTTTTATTCGAATGATCGAATTTCTATTCGATTCGGACCCAAGTATAATGCTTAGTCAGATCTGCACTTGCAAAGCATTTTCTTTAGGGTTATGGCCTTTTGCTGTGCCTTATATGATTCGGTATCGCTTATCAAAACATATGTCTATATATTAATTGTCTCATATACAGGGTGTCCAAAAAATGTGAACAATGCTTGATCGTTGATAACTTCCCTGCTTTCATGTTTTTCACTGATCTTGAGGTATCATTCTGTAGGGCGAGGTACAACTTAGATTTACAGCATAAACGAATCTCCGATCTTTCTTCCTTACTGTAGGATTACGGTATAAACTTTCGGCTCATAGCGCTACCTGTGGAGTAGGCCTTTTAAAGGCAGCGTCCAGGCAGATCTGGACCTATGGGGCTTTTACGTGGAAAGTACTTTTGGGGCCCTAACTAAGGCACTGCCCAAGCGGCAGCTCATGTAGTGCTCTAATGGCTGAGATATTCCCCTCGAAAGTGGCCCCCGCGAACGTATTCGCATGGATTCATGGCAGTTTCGCGGCAGGATCCACGCTTTGCGCCATGAATCCATGCGAAACACGGTCGCGGGGTCCAGTTTCGAGGGGAATATCTCAGCCGTTGGGGCACTACCTGAGCTGCCGGTTGGGTAGTGGCTTAGTTAGGGCCCCAAAAGTACTTTCCACGTAAAATCCCCATAGGTCCAGACTTGCCTGGACGCTGCCTTTAATGAAAAAAATTCCAAACCGGGATTTGTGTAGCAAGGTTTTCAGGCGTGCTGATTTCACTACATAACATTTTACAATCATCGAGCGTTTTAAATGGTGTAGTCACACTTCTGACGAACACTGTAAAAACAGTCGCTACCCTAAACCCAAAATAACTTATAAGAGAAGCATTACATTGAAGTGACCTTCATATTTGAAAGCAGTAACTTCAATTAGTCCAACACAAGAGTTTCTGGCTTGTTTGGTTTTTCTTTTGCTAGGACAAAAATCGCTTTTAATTTCCTAAAATCCTTCTCGAAGTTCCTACCGTTATCTATCTACCTAATATATATAAAGAATCGTAATGCCATTCAAAAAACATTAGATGCAAATCTAGCACCTCTAGGATTATTGGTTCACTAGTCCTACGGTAATAAAGAGTGATTGATGATTCGTTCCATACTGTAAATCAAAGTGAACCTCGCTCTGCAGAATGGCCAAGCTCGGCGAAAGACGTGAAAGCAAGAGACGAGCGATCAAAGAGTGTTCAAAATCTTTGAGACACTCTGTATTTCGATATCATGTAGCTGCTGTGTGTATCGCTTTCTACAATAATTTAGCCCATTACAGCGTACTACAGAAATCACACAGTTACTTTCGTGCCGGAATCTCAACTTCTTTCAGACAGTTTCTTGGCTAATCAACTATTTCTTGACTTGTTTTTCCATGAGATCCGTACATCGACTATCGAGCTTGCTCCTGTGTAGTCTTCTGCCGCCATCGTATTTTCATTTCCATCCTCAATTCAAATGTTTCTCTTCGATCGCAGCTGTCTACATAGTCATAATTATCCCGCTGCCGCTTGACGCACTGTGGCTAGTTTTTGCAAGGCCATGAACTTCTAGCTTCGAAAGAATCTTGCAGATATGAACAATCCAGAGAAGAAGTGCCTTCTCTGTAGTCATTCTTGACAATTTGTAGTCGTAGAAAGGACTTATTCACGTACTCAAAATGAGAAGAGACTTGTATTCAGCATGAGTCTCAAGATTATTTATTTCGTGTGGACCCAGCGATCCATGTGCTTGTGGAAGTCGTAGAGAACTAGCAGCGGTTGACAATCTTTGCTCTAATAACATCACGTCATTTGTATAGCTGAGGCAGAACTTGACCAAGAAATGAATGTTCGTTGTCTGGTGACTGTCATTCTTCTTATTTTATTGCAAAAAATGGAGTTTTAGTTTGATATCACATCATACTCGCAGCTTGAGAATTTAAGAAAGAGTGGCCATGTGAGCAAGTTTCATTATCTTATCCTTCAGATAGGTGGAACTGCGCGGTGGGCACGGGCAGTATGCTGCGTCAGCACCTGGTGGGCCGTCATTCCCGGGAGGCCCCGGTAGTCCATCAGTACCTGGTTGACCATCCATTCCTGGTTTTCCTGGTTCTCCCGGAGGACCTTCGCGTCCGTCTTTTCCATTTTCACCATCCCTTCCTGGTTCACCTATGGGTCCCTCTGGTCCGGGCGGTCCAGGTGGTCCGGGAGCACCTCTTCCTCTTCTTCCGCTGATACCTGGTTGTCCGGGTTCACCAGGCATGCCATCTTCACCAGGTTCGCCGGGATCTCCTGGTTCCCCAGGTAAACCAGGTCTTCCGTCAAGCCCGGGAGGACCAGGTGGGCCATCTACTCCGTCTTCTCCTGGCGGGCCCATGTCTCCTTCTGGACCTGGAGGCCCTGGAGGACCTGCGGGGCATTGAACACAACCACTAGGATCCTCGGACATTATGGCAGTACCTTTGATTCCCGAAAATCCATTCCATCCAGGTATTCCATCTAAACCAGGAACTCCGGGCTCGCCTGGGGGTCCTGGAGGGCCAGGAGGACAATCGAGGTCGCTTTCTCTTCCTGCACATGGGCACTCCTGTCTCCTCAGTCTTGTGAAGTTTTGCTGTGCTGCAGTCACTGCAAGCATTTCTCGCCAAGCATCGTCTGCGTAGACCTAAACTCAAACTCACTAAATTTGATGATGAGAGAAACCTGACCACATACCTTTATCTCCGCCACTTCTCTCATTGCCTCATCGCGGATGTAAGTGATCCTATAAAAAAGCAGCACACCGGTAACGACTGCAGCTACTATCGTGATTACGGAAGATAGAGTGCCGAGGATGATGAAGAGCTTTACGTTCATGATGGGGAATGAAGCCTGTTTGTGCGACCGTTTATATAAGTTTGAGAGTCATAAAATATCGAGTTCAAGCAGACTTACGGCTTTCTGTTTTTGAGTGAATATCATAAGTTGAATTCCGCCTCTGAATAGGCAACTTTCTAATGCCTTCTTCCTGATATCGCTCTTACAGTGAAGGATAGACACCCGGGTGGTAGCTGCCAGGCGAGGACTTCCCATCACTTTTGGTTTTCAGCTTGCTGGATCCGGAACTTTGCTCCAACACTTGCTTTTTTCATGTCCGAGGAGGCTCTGAAATGTCTTTGACATTTTCCTCAGTCTTGGAATGCATTCCGTTATTACATCCGGCAGGTTTTAATATAATAATAGCAGATTCAAGTCAAAGCCTGCCTCGATGCTGTTTATCTTTTGAAATTTAGTTTTCAACGCAGAGTTTCATTCCCCTTTGTTTCTCACCCTTATCATCTCAATATTTGAACTTAATCTGATCTCAATATCAAAGTCGCCAGATCCTCTTATTTCTTCTCCCATTTGATATTATAATGACATCCAGTTCGTGGGAGCAGTTCAATACTGATATTACCTTGAGAATGCCATGAGATCACTGACGAACAAACTTGCTTCATGAACAAGATCTTTTTCTTTTTTTATTTTGTTTATTATTTCATTGTTTCAAATTTATTTTTCAGAATTATTTCTGAGTTTTCATCCATTATATTTACTCCTACTGATGCGTTATCTCGTAAAAGCACCCTTCGGTGGTTTCAGGTCACATTCTTTGCGACAACTGCGCAAACGTTTGTTTCTCATAGAAAAACTGCGCGATGCGCATACTGTCGGACTGGTCGTGGGAACCGTTGGAGTGCGTGGACATATGTGAGTGCCATATAATTACGCTTGTCATTTTCTAATAGGACTGAGAAAGGAGGCAGGAGGAGATCTCCCAAAAAAAGGAGCCTATGGTGACCGAAACTCTTCTTGAGAAGCTCTTTCATCTTTTTTTCGTTACTACACTTGTCATGCTTCTTCATATTTTAGCGAAGCAGTACAAAGGGTGCGAAAGCTGTGCAAAGCTGCTGGTAAACGGCTATACGTCATCTCAGTCGGAAAGGTTGGTAAATTTGAAGTGTAAGGTAAATCCATGGTGTTTTCGGAAAAAAGATACGCAGTAAGCAATTGCTTCCGTACTTTGTGTTCATTTACTATAAATTCTGTTTTGTAATTTTCAGATCAACGTTCCAAAATTATCAAATTTTGCCGAAATAGATGCCTTCATACTGTTGTCATGCCCGTTTGGAATCATTCTCGACTCTTCGGATTACTTCCGTCCTATTCTGTCAATGTTTGAAGCTGAAATGGCGTTGAATCCGTCGAAGTCGTGGAGCGGCTATGATAAATGGAGCGCCGACTTCACTTCCTTCACAAACGGTACATCTTTTTCTATGTAGGCTTGGGTCATTACCAGATAGTTCAGATGAGGTCGGTTGCCTTGATGGTGATCACACGGATGTGAGCTTGGTGACCGGTAGGATACGAGCAGGACCAGCCGCAGATTCAGAAGCCAAAAACTCGGGGGAGATACTTCCCTATGAGAAAGGTTCATGCGTTTGAGTTTGTTTTTTTTTCAGTCATAAGAAAGTAGTGTGATTATAGGCGACTATTTCAAATCTCGTACGTGGCGCGGGTTAGACGCGGATGTACGATTGGATGAGTCTACGAAAGTGGAAGAGGGAAGAACAGGAACGGCCCTGAGCTACGATACAGAGCCGCCTACGCTAAAGGAGTGAACTAAGTGATTGTGAGCTTCTTGCGGTCCTTGGTTCAGATGTATAGGAAATTTTTGCAAAATAATTTTGTAGTATGCATGTCCTAAGTATCTATCAGCTTTTATACGAATGTTGACAGTTGTTGTTACTCGTTGTTGTTATGACTGTCTATATAAAGATGCAATCTATGAACTTATCGACCATTTGTTTGAATTTTTCATAATGTGAGTCCCTCACTCCATGAAATGAGAATCAATCTAGCTAAAGCAATATGTTAAGTTACTCTAATACCTTGAACTTACACGGATGTCCGCTTGCTAATATTTTTGCTTTCAAAGTTGATGGAACGAGAAAGTACACGTGGTCTCCGTTTGCACCATGACGCGCTGAGTAGTTGGTTGTTACGCGTACTGGGTGGGGCATGTCTGGGAGCCTAGTACTTTTTCAGACAAAATCAGAATGAAATTACCTAGAAACACAAAGTTTGGTGCACACTAAATCGATCTTGGGATTTCCTCTTTTGACTTCAATGCGACCATCCAAAATATTGGCGAGTTCACTTGTCATGGCACGCAGGCAGCCTTGATGAATTCTCCCATGCTTTCACGATAAAATTTTTACTAGAAAAAGGTGCAGTACGATAAAACAAATTTTTGGCTACAATATATTACGAAGAAATTCTTTTGCAATATTCAGGAAAAATTCCAGAATTTTTTGTGTAGGCAAGTGTACTTGCATACCGAAAATTTGAATCGGCGTGAACGGGGGCGACAAATCACGATCTAAAAAGTATTGAATTTGCTCCATCGATCGAATGATGCTTATATAAACTCATTGAAAGAATATAGCCACAAGCTCAGTACTTGCTGCGCTCCTATGGCTTTCAAATTTATTTCAAAGCCAAATGGCCACCTGGCATACGGATAATGTTCGAAAATTGTTATTTTGCATTTCGAAAGATTAGCAAACACAACTACTGCGATGTGATAGCGAACGCCTCCTCTACATCGTTGGCGTCAAATGTTGCAGAATATCTACAATATCTTGAGCTGCGATGTAAATTGTGAATACTGAATTTTGATTTTCTGTTCTGCAGAATCACTTGTTTGATAGATTCAATTCTTACAAAAACATATGGCAGGCATTTTTAGCTAGGTTAAACCTAATTTGTAGAGGATGACCGCAGCAATGTGGAACGAATTTAGAATCAAAATCATCAGCAGTTTCGTGATTTACAGCACTGCAAAGTCGGTATTCAGTGCATTTCAATGGTACGAAGAAAGTTGTCAAAATATAATCGTATCGAAGCTAGCTAGCGTTAAGAGCAAGAAATCCTGCATCACATGATACACTGTTTGCCTCTTTTCACTCTATAGGGTTTGCGATTTGGTCTAAAAAAGCTTGCGGGCTTTCCCGACCTAATTACATATATATATATCTGACAAATCAAGGAGCGTTTTGTACAGATTCGTCAGTTTTAAGCATTTTTGAAATGAACTTTTTGCGCTTCCGGTCCAAGAATTATGCATCATCGCATTGGGTCGTTCCAAAAAATTTCGTCGTACTTTCGAACTATTATAAGAAAACGTAAAATGAAGATAGAAAAGCGCTTCAAAAACTGACTCAGCTTTTTTTCCCTTTTATTGCAACCATGTTCTGGACTGGTTACTCTTGTGGTGACCAGAGTAATCGTCAAAACTTGGAACCTATAGTTTTCCATGTTCGACTTTAGCAATTTTTGATTTTCGTTCTATGGTTTTTGGGAGCTTTGCCAACAAATGAATAAAGGAAACAAAATTTTGCCTTGCAAAGCGCAATGTAAAGCGTTATTGGTGCCTAGCTTGATTTCCAAGATTTTTTTATTTCTTAGTTGCTTCCAAATTTCATAATTGGTCAACTCAAACCTCATAGGGCATTACGGCGAGCATTTTGGGTGTCATCCGATACAGCTTCATCTCCTCTTTCCAATTTTCTCCTTTTGAATCGTAAATTCCCGTGGTTAATTATCATAATTCTTGTTTTTGAATGCGATGCACATACTCGGAAAAATCAAAATTCATTATTCTGAAGCAACGAACGCTCACATGTTTTCATTATTTGTGTTGTCATAATTATTTTGTGAAAGTTTTCAATCGGGAGACTTCTTGATTGATGCATTTGTGTATAATACGACTTCGCAAAGGCGAAGACTTTTGTATTTAACCCAAAAGGTGCTGAGAAGATAGTTGGGGATTCCCAAAAATTATCGTTATACACTCTGTTTACTCTATTAATCTGCCTTCTAAGCTCTTTCAAAGTCTAGAATGAAAATTATGTTGCTAAATTTGGATGTGATGAAAACATAGGTTTGAAATTCGGCGCTTTTTTGTGACCGTAAAAGTAACCATTTTGGAAATATAACTGCTGAAAAGAGGAGGAAAACCATTAAGTAGTTTTCGAAGCACTTGCCGATCTTCATTGCATATCTTACGATGAGTCGGAAATCAAAAGAACCGTTGGAACGACCTTGTAGACTCGTAGATCTGAGGAACGCTGGATAAAAAATCAGGTAAAAAAACATTTAAAGCGCCATAAATGAAGAGAGTGCTTGCGTAAACTGATCCAGAACATCCGATCTGCTCGTTGTTACGTAATGATTTATCGCCAGATCGCTAACGGCATTGTTGTCCGACATGCTGTTTAACGCTCCGGCATGACGAACTCGATAATCGCTTGATTATAGCCCCGATTTGACCCTAGCAAGCAGAATTGCAAGTTATTCATGCCCTGTCCACTACATAAGCTGCAGAGCGTCGATAGCAAGCAGGGCCAGCGCTATGAGTCGCTTCTTCATCGGATTTGCCTCTGCTTTCAGTGGAATTTTCATTATTGGTGCTATCATTAGCTTGGGTTATATAGTTAATGACATCAATAACTTCTACGATGACGCAATGGAGGATATGAAAGAGTTCAAGGTTTGAATTTAAAATTCTGGTCCAAAAATTCCTTTGACAAGTTTTTTTCAGGTCTTCGCTGATGACGCATGGACGAAAATGATTATAACAACGAATACTGGAAGATCCCGTCGTCAGACCTACGGCGACTCAGCTGTAAAGAGCGAATCTTCGACCGATGATGACACCTGCAACTGCGGTGCACAGCCGAACGACTGCCCACGTGGGCCACCCGGACCGCCAGGAGCCCCGGGAGAGCCCGGAATTGACGGCGACAACGGAGCACCTGGAGGAAAAGGACGTGATGGCATTTCCACTGGCGGGTCGCCTTTAGACACCATAGAATGCGTAACTTGCCCTGCTGGACCTCCAGGACCTCCAGGTCCAGATGGATCACCAGGAGTCGCCGGTCCTCCTGGACAGGATGGTGCACCTGGCGAAGCTGCTCAGGATGGGCCTCCTGGAGAAGAAGGACCAGAAGGAGACGCTGGACCGGCTGGGGCTGATGGTGCACCTGGCGAGGTTGGACCCCCTGGACAAAATGGCCAGAAAGGCCAAGGTGCACCAGGAGTGGCCGGACCGCCTGGACCACCGGGACCTGCTGGAAACGCAGGAGCCGACGGAGAACCTGGAAGCCCTGGAGCTGATGGCGAACCCGGACCAGCTGGAGCAGCTGGTGGTCCTGGACCTGCAGGCGAGCATGGCCACGATGGAGAGCACGGTGGCCCAGGAATGCCTGGGGAAGATGCTGCTTATTGTCCCTGCCCACCTAGAACCGTTGACGTTGCTGTGGATGCTGGGAAGAAGGTGATGGGATTTAGCAGAAGACGTTTTAGGGTTTGAAAAACTTATCTTCAAATGTATTTATTTTAATTTCGGTTCATATACACGTATAAATCAGAAAATAACTTCCATTACAAGCACCTTGACACAGATATTGATGCACAGAAATGTCAAAATCAAACAAAATTTTAGAACCAAGACGCACAAAAAATCAATAATAAAAATTCTTGGAATAAAATGGTAACAGAACCTTTGTTTGAAACAAACACGTATATTACCAGTAGAAGAGGTCAACGAGACTGCATGGCACACACCTTAAGATGAAAACTTGGACTATTAGATGTCCTTGGACAATAAAAAAACAGTACTAAAAATATATGAGTTCCATATTGCCATGTCATGAATCTGGATGCTTCTATCCAATTGTATCTTTCGCGAATTTGAGGTAATAGACCCAGTAGCAGATGTTGAATATTACAAATGCAATGGGAAAATAGAAGCGGCTACGTCGATCAATCGATTGAGCATATTTGCGGTTTTCTTCCACTCGATTCATCCTGTAAATAATCTGGATTAGGATTCCACAAAAGCTTGATGACGGAAAATCGATCAAGGCTTACATGGTAGTTCTAAAGGAAAAGCAATGTCCTATGTACCTCTCTTCCATCGCCTTCCGTTTTCTCCCCGTCAAGAAATTTTGTCTCTGTAGTGTCGGCGGTTGGTTCATCTCTCGAATTTGTTTTTTCGCGAAGTTTTCTTGAGCACTTTCATCGCACAGCGTTACTTCGTAGCAAGTGCCGTTCTGGTACTAAAAAAGTGAACCGACGTTGACATTTTGTATCTGGTCCGAACGTTGGGTGAAGGAAGTGTGAACGGGACGTGGCACCATTCAAACATTGTGACACGGAGGGATAGATAGGGGATAGATAAGGAGCAGGAACAGTAGAAAGGGTTGTAGAAGAGTGTGCTGGTAAAATTTTGAAGTATTTTTAAATAAGTTTGAGAGAAGTAGTCTAATGTCGAATGTTGTTGGGTAGAACAATTTTATACTCTCAAGAACTCACTGTTTTACCACTTAATTGAGCTCAGGCTTTGGCCCATCACGCGCGCTACGTCTATGCGACAAGACTTCTTGAGATTAAAGTAATGTTAGAGTGCTTATAATATGGTATCAGGAGGAATAGGATGATGCAACGCTGATAGCTTGTGTCTATATTTTAGTCCTTCTATTGGTACTTAAAGGCAGGGTCCAGACAGATCTGGACCTATGGGGATTTTACTTGGGAAGTACTTTTGGGGTCCTAACAAGGCAATGCCCAAGCGGCAGCGCAGGTAGTGCTCTAACGGCTGAGATATTCCCCTCGAAACTGGCCCCCGCGATCGTATTCGCATGGATTCATGGCAGTTTCGCGCCCGGATCCACGCTTTGCGCCATGAACCCATGCGAAATACGATCGTGTGGTCCAGTTTCTAGGAGAATATCTCAGCCGTTGGAGCACTACCTGAGCTGCCGGTTGGGCAGTGGCTTAGTTAGGGGCCCAAAATTATGCCTGGGCGCTGCTTTAAACAACAGGCCTTTACTATCTTAGCCTAGTGACTTTTCTGGTAAATCGTTAACAGAACACTTCAAGCTGATTAGGTTGAAACACACTAATACAAGTTGATTTCTTCTTTTTACTTCTTCGCTTTGTTCCTACCTAACTTCTCTTCAATGTTCGCTTAGCTCTAGGCCGCGATTCTTGTATGCATTAGGCCTCGGACAGAGTTCACGCGATTTCATCGCCCCGCGATTCTTCCAACAAGACAACTGTTACTAGTCCATTGGATGCCGGTCAACTTGCACTTCGGTTGTGATAGTTAGTCACGATTAGTCGTGTCGGGAAACCATCACAACCGAAATGCAAGTTGGTTAGCATGCAATGGGCTCGTAACAGTTTTCTTGTTGGAGAATCGCGAGGCGATGAATTCGCGTGAACTCTGTCCGAGGCCTTAGGTTGGTGCAAAATCAGTGCAATTTTTGCAAAGTCTCACTTTGACAGGCCATAAATTCTTCCAGACTCTAATCCGTTGCTTGTAGCGGTAACTTATACATATGCTAGCCTTTCTGCCACTCAGCGCACACTCATATACTAATATCGCGAACGATAAGAGAAGCAATGATTTGAGAGAAATTGGAATTCTTTTCCAAGACATGATTTTCGATAAGTCTTGAGACACTGAGTTTTCTTGACAGAAACGGAAAATATGTTACGTATTGGAAACTGGTAATTGGCGCAATCAAGAATGGACTTGAATAAGTCAGTTCTTTTCAAAGAATATTGGGTTTTATAAATCAGCCCACTGAGAATGGGGCATTTTTGAAAGCTACTTATATAAGTTATAAAATGTGCAAGTGACTTGTTCATGCTTGTAAATAACTGAGATAATTTTTAAATTTTTTTTCAAAAACTCAATTCATTTTTTTTCGAGGGCAAAAGTTTTTTGCAGTGACCTTCATCAGAAGGAATTTTTGTCCCCCTCCCCCCGCCGAAAGGCAATACTGGGAACCCCACTAAGATATAACTATTATATTTCGAGAACTACAGAATTGAAAATTGGTACGTGCACATCTTCTTTGAGTTCTGAAGTTGGAGAAGCATCTGTTTAGCTGTGAATGGAGATTTCTCTATCCAAATAGTTTGAGATGGCTTATTAACGAACTTGAAGACAGTTATCACATGTATCAGCTTTGGGGTCAGTTCGTTTTTTGGTTATGTATCTGAATCAACTATTATCACCATTAGGAAAGTTCTCTGCTGAGAAAGAAGACGTTGTGGTCATGGACAACCATAGACGTGGTGCAAAGTAGGAGAAAAGGAGACGTAGACAATTTTTTGGACTTATGAAAGCATGCTCAAGGAAAAACCTGGAGTTGCTGAGTTACGTATCCAACAGTAGTGTGTTGAATGCTTCTCATCTAAACTCGTTCATAACCTTTTTATATGTTTGAAAAGGAAATGGGGAAGTTATTTTGTACGCACAATTATACCGATTTACCCACCAACTCATACACAGAAGTATTTGATCCCTGAAATGCTGAATAGTGAGGAAGGGGAAAAATAAGACAATGAAGGAACTGACAGCTTTCTTCTCCTTGTACTGCGCGATCAAATTTTGCACTTGCTCCGACAGACTCGGCGTCGGTTTTGGGCGTTTTCGCGATTTTCGACGAGTGCAATAGTTCACTACCTGAAATCCACTATTTTCTTTATTCATATGCAGGACCAAGGCTTAGGAAAGGTGGCTTATGAGCAAGTTGGATATTGTTTTTGGGACAAAAAGCAAAGGGGATATGTCTTTGTGGCCGAAAAACGCAACTTAGGTAACAATTTTTAAGGTTTCGTTTTTTGAGGGGTTTTTTACGTGGGTTTAGGGCAAAGGAGATTCGTAAAATTTTTGCAATCAAGGAATACTTCGTTTTTTTTGCATTTTTGGAAGCCACCTCGTGCCGAGCCTTGTGCAGAACTGATTATTAACTCACAGTAAATTCTATCATGGCCGAGAAAACGAATGTCATGCACGCACCCATCCACACGTCTATGGCCTTTACGTAAGAAGCCTAAAAAGGCCTCTACTTTGAGTGGAACATATGTAATCATAAATGCCAACATATGTCCAGTATATTCTGCAACATCAGAGTTCTAGTTCTTTCCTTCGGCAAGATCGCATCTGGTAATCAAAAACGGGTTCTACTTTAGCCTTATTTTTGACTGCCCTGAAAGGGATAAGAAAAAGTTTTGCCGCAGAAAGCAATTATTCTTGTATAAAAAAAGTCGAAAATGTCAAAGAAAGTTCATCAAAAAAAATAAAAAATAATAAAAATATAAATAAACAAAATAAAAACGAAATGGATATATTGAAGAGAGTTTTCTTTTACTTTAAAACATGTGCTCATTTTACATCGGTTTCGATTCATTTCTTAGCTACATGAGATGTCACTGCGACAAATTAGGGAATAAACTCAAAAGAAAGCACCGTAAAGTGAAACAATTTTATATGTTTATTCCGATTTTTCATGTATTTTATTCATAGTAACTAAGCATGCAGGGGACATTTTATTCAAGAAGATTTTTGCGATGTCATTTGAAAAATTCAAAAGCTCCAAATGAAGTCTTACATAAAACTCTTCTTTAGGTCAAAAGACACTTTTCCTAAAGGTTCTCATTTTCTTGTCCAAATTTTCGTAAATGAGAAGAACCGTTAGAGTAGTCAACAAACCTGCGGCAGTGCCATCCTTGCTGCGCTGCTTTGTGTTGCTAAAGTCAGCAGGGTTGTTATTGATAGAGAGACCTTGAACCAAAGTTGTAAGCTCCTCCTAGTAACTACTGAAAAGGCATACCCGTCCTGGAACTGCTTCGACATCAAGCCAAAATGAGAACCACGAGATTACAACGATGAGCGAGGTTGGGAGATAGGACTGTAATTGCTATAGAAGGTAAAAGAGCTCTGTTTTGATTTGATTTTGGTTTTTGCAATGCAGAAAAGAAGAAAACTAGCTGAATACTAATTGTATAGTGATTTTTGATCTCCAAAATTTCAAAAACATTAGTCGTCTTGTTCCCTATTTATTGCTCAGAGATATTATGCACAAAAAGCCCGAATGAGTGAACAATCTCTTCTTGATCCTTCAGAAGCCTTTTTAATCACTCGCATGCGGTAGCAATGATGAGAGCAATGCTCGATAGCTAGACATAAATTTCAGAAAGCGGAATATATTAGGTTGGTGCAAAAGTAATGCGCGTTTTGCGAGTTCTAATTTTCACGGGCTATAAAATCCTTAAAAATCTATATTTTATGATGCGATAAATACCGTCATAAGCAGCAAACTTTTAACAACACAGCGCACACTCTCCTTTAGTCATATCACAAATGGGCAGAAAATATCGACTGCTAAGCAAAAAAAGTTTTTTTTCCTGAAACCTCGTTTTGAACTGATCATAACTCACAAAATTTGTTAGTATAAATGCTGAGTGGCCTATCTTGTAGCCGCAAGCAAGTAGTACAAAAGAAGAGAAAGGGCTCAAACAAAGAATGTTTGCGAAAAGAAAAAAATCAAAAAAATATTCAAAATTGTCAGCTTTTTTCAACATTTTTTCGTAGGCCTTAAAGTCCCAAAACTTGAATTTTTTTTGATTTTTTGCGTGCCAAAGAGCTATGTAGACGTTTTTACAAAAACTGACAAGAGAAGGTCTACCTTTACGCTTATAGAAATGAGCAAACTTTTGGTATTTGCCTTCTCCAAATGAAATTTATGGGCCACAGAATGACCAAAACGATTACCCATGTTGACTCGCTGATATCTCATTCTTGGTGATTTTCAAGAAGGAAAGTGTGCATAATGTAGACAATTACTATTACATATAGTAACTTTCAACTAAATACCTTCATTCGCGCTTGAATATTGGCCAGGAAAATAAATGCAGCGAAATTCTGGTTTTGAGCGCGGTTGTGTGAGGCTCTGCAAATTCTTAACGGATGGCGCAAGAAGCTTGTTTCAACCACTTTTGTATAGAGCCTGAAAAAAGCTTCTTGAAGGTATGCTAAGCTTTTTTCCAAGGAAGGAAGTTTGATGGAAAAAATTTGTCTTGAGACCGGGGCTAAAAAAACGCGCATTACTTTGCACCAACCTAATACATGCAATGCATAACAGAATCTTGCACACGTCATTCCAAAACTTCTTTGTAAATTCTTAAGAAGAAAGAGCAGCACTGCGATGTGAAAAAACGTACTTGTATGATGTGGTGCATAATTTCACGATCAACATGGAATTCTGCCAAAGCGCAGGACCAGATACCTGCAATGTGCAGTATAGGTATTCCTTTGTGAAAATAAACAAGATAAAGTAGTTCTTAGATGAAGATCAATAATTCTGGAAGTGGAGAACCTGTCGCGTAAGTATCATTCCGTAATGAAGGAAGAATGTAACGCAATCGCATGTCAGGCATCCGAATCTCTGGATTCACATCAACCGGATTCGGTCCGTTCCATTTCACCACAATCTCGTCGCTATCGTACGCGTCTAAACTTATAAAATTAATCAAGTTAAGTCACTATGAAAGTTTTTGTAGCATTAGTTGAATGTATGGATGCAGTTTCATTCCTGCATTTGAAATAAAGTTATTCGCGAAGTAACACGTGCCTTCAGCCGCTGAATATGCAAAATTCCCAACAATATTAGTTGATTATATGCTGCACAAAACTGCACATTTTTTACTATTTTTGAACTGAGGTCAGATTGCAGCACAAGCTATTTGAATTTCTGATGACAGAAAGTTTACAATCCACATCGTCAGATTAGTAAGAAAGAAAATTAGTAATCTTAATATGTTATCTATTCTGCATTTCAAAGTAAAGCATTTCGGAGAAAAGGGCAGAATTTTTGCTTAGGCTGACTCCAAGCTTGCGCAGGTGTAGAAAATAGGCTGTTTGAAATAGGCAGGTGCACGTTCTTTGAAATTCTAGAACTCGATAATTGTGAAAAATCAAGATACAGGTTACCGATAAAAGATGAGCTATTTTTTGCAAATTGCTTTGCCAAGGAAATAAGAAAAACCTAAAGATTCGAGGTAACAGCTCTGTTTGCTTTAGAAAACTGAGACAGAAAAGAAGTGGAATGAGGACGATGACAAAACAAAAAGGCCACTGTTTCTTAAGGGTACGTTTCTTTACCATTGGCTGAAGAAACGGTACCAGATGTATTGAACGCAGCTTGTTTCATTAGTTTTAGATTTTCGGAGCTTCATCAGGTCCGAGGATTTCTTAAATCTTTTTTTAATGATCTAAAAACATGCTCAACTCACAACTTAATATTCTCAGCGCACAGCTTTGTGAGTCCAACGGGTATCGGGCCAAGTTTTGCATACATATGACCGTCAAAGAAATCCTGCAAATAATAAGTTGGTCTCTATTTGAGAAACAGTCATCCTTTGCAAACAATGAATTATTCGTCGCTTCAGAGAACAATGCCGCATGTGGCACTAAAAAGGGGTGGATACTTGGTCGAAGTGAATTTCCATGTGAATTGTATATTTTCTTAAAGAGCATAGAACACTTATTCCGATTCTGTTTCCGTTATCTGCCGCTTCTAGAAGAGGAGTTATTTAAGTTTTGGCCAAGAAAAACGGATGTTGAGGTTTTTCCGGAACTTGAGAAGAGCAATGACTAGCGTAAGTCAGGCTAAAGGTGTAACCGCATAAAACGTTTTGGAAGTAATCATGCCCCATTTGAGCTCTCAAACTTCAGTTCTGAAGGATTTGATTGCAACCGTGTGTTGAGTTTTTGCTTCGAAAATTCCCGTAACTCTCCCAAAAGCGCTTTGCAGATATTGAAGGTAGATTTGGAAATAGCGTTGCATGTTCTATAAGATGGTATACAACTCACATGAAAACTCCACTTCGACCAATTATCCGTCCCTTATTAGGGACATGCTGAACCCTAGTCGGGGAGACTTGTGTTATGAATGAGGTATGCGGAAGTGAAAATTAAGTGGGCGCACGTGGTGCTTCTGGGAAAGCAGTAAATGCAAATTAATAGCAAGTCTGTACGCTAACATTAGAAAAGAGTTGAAAGGTTGTAAAAACTTTGTCGCCTCCCTCCTTTGATTCTTAAAATGGGGTGAATAATCAATTTACTACTCGATCACCTAGTCGTTTGCATATTCGAATCATATAGACAGGTGGGATGGACTAGATTATTGATGACTCAAACCATACTTTTGCAGTAAAAACTCGCGATGTCGGTTCCTTTTTACTTTCTTTTTTTCCGCGAATATTTGGAGGGTGTAGTGAGCAGAGAATAAAGGGGATAAATGAGAGGGAAGGATTTGGGCTCACCTGCAGTCATACCAAACCGTACCATTTGGGTAGACCCACAAGAGGAAGTTTGGCTGAGTCACGTCGTGAAAGGCTGCAGTGCGAGCATTTGCGAAATAAATATCTGGATGCCAGATCAGTTTAAATAGGTGTGGATCCTAAAATACGCATATTACTATGTGATTTCAAATTAAAGCCAGAACCGTTGAAATGTGAGTTGCAACCATTCTTACGGTAAGCTCATGTAATCCTCTCCCCCTCCCTCCCTCCAAAAAAATTTATTTGCCACTTGTGCACCGCAAAACATGCGAAGAGTTGCTAAAGGCAGTATGTTGTTAGAGCTGTTCAAGATTTCAACTGTCAGCTACGGATTTAATTCGGCTAAGGCTCCACTCCCTGATTTTTCCCAAAAGTATCATCATTTTCTAATCACATTGGAAGATTTTTTCGAAAGAATAATGTGATTGACTACCCACAAAAAGCAGAAGAATAAAGACATCAATTTAGTATTAACTCTGAATCTGCTCAAGAGCCCGTGTCGTTAATTATCGTTGAAAGTCGAGTGAAAATTTAGTGAAAATTTCCCGGTTTCCATACTGTCGTCTTTTTCTGCATTTCTTCCCTTGTGTGTCATTTATTATGCTCGATAACCGAATCTCGAGAACAATTTGCGAAGCATACTCACACCTTCATCGATTTCCCCATGAAAACAAAGAAATTAGCGAAGCGGTAAATTGTTATGCATTAGAGGGCTAGAGTGACTAAGATTTAGAGAGAAATAAGTATAAAGAATTCAAGAAAAGTCGGTTAATGAGCCTAAACCAAGTACAAAGTGAAGTATAAATAGATAGTGTTTTCGTCCTAATACTCTTGACGACACAAATAAAAAAGTTCTTTATCGCTATGATTCAGCTGGCGGCAAAATGACTGACAAATTTTACGCGTCACTTGTGCAAGTAATGAAAGCCAGATATTCTGTAGGAAAGTATACCAATTGATGACCACAACGGAAAGGATTTATAAAGCATTGGTGCTCCAGTTATCTTCTCGTGGAATACAAAATAACGTACCTTTACCAAAATTCGCTTTGTATTATTGTGCGCTAACCGTCTATCAACCCATTTTTCTTGGAAGTAGATATCCACTTGAAAATCCTAAATCAAATCCAAAACTTTTAGGTATGGTCGTAACAGCAGGAGATGATCATAAGTCTTCACATAATGATATAGAAAAAACTGCTTAAAAGATAAATTTTGGGCTTGAGCTTCATAGTTAATATTTTGATTTATGATAAGTCATCATAATCGCTTGTATCAGATACTTTATCTAATTTCGAGCTGCATAAATCTAAAACTGCAGCATATGTACTTCTTGAGCGGTCTCTAATGATGGACGAGAATTATAAAACAAGCCTTTCTATCATACATCTGAATAGTCGGGGCAGAGGCAGACAGGCAAAGCATGTGGGTTATTCAAAATAGTAGGTTCGAATCTGGACTTTTGAATTGCTAATAATTTTCACCATTCTTGAGAACTTTGTAGCCCAGTTTCGGGTGCAGTAAAATCAGACTACCCACTTGATGGGCGAAGCTGCCCCTACCGCATCCACTTTCTGCAATAATTTTCTCGCTACAAAACGCTTTGCACCTGAACTTGGGCAACCGCGACAGGCGCAATGCTATTGCATCCATTATAATCTCACCACGACCAGTTTCTAGAAGACGCTTTGAGGGTTTCAGAACTGTCCGTCAAAAACAAATGCAGTTAAGGGTAGGGAACGTAGCTATGAGCCTAAGTGAAAAAGTAAGCCTAAAACTTGAAAGCAAGTGAAAATATAAGCTACATGCTAAAAACTAACCATGCTCTGTGCTCGAAATGAAGACATTCCTTCGATGTACATTTGTATGTAGACAGTAGTCGGCATGTCTAAACAAATTTCTGTTAACTCTAGGTAATTACCCATATATGGTAATCATTTAATATTTGCGTTATTTCTAGGCTTTTCAACCCCTTGTTCTTCTCTGCGTTCCTTCACATACAGACTGGAAAATTACATTTTCCGAAGGCTGAGGGCTATTTAGATTTTTATAAGCAGAGCCGGCACGGCAATTTTATATCGCACACAAATAGAGAAACACAAAAGTCAATATCAGCCAGAACAAAGATATTCAATATCAGCCAGAACAAAGATATATAAGTTCAGATTGTGCTTATGAACAGTTTACTAAAGAACTCATCGAATTTGTTAAGTAATCAAATGGCTGTACTTCCTAAAAGCATCAGAATCGTCTGCAGTTTTATTTATATGTATATAGAGATAAGTAGTAACCAAGGAAGCATATTCGGGACTCATAGAACGAATCTGTATCACAACCTCGAGTAAGAAAGCGCATTTCTGATTCAAAACTAAATAGACAATGGCAGAGTAGGGGTGGGAGGAATGAGCAGATTTGTGCTATTTTATGATTGTTTGTTTTCGCGGTGGTGTACCTTATGTAGGTCTCCTATTGCAGTTCCTCAGAAACTGTTTGGATCTCTCAAAAAGCTTCGAAACGGAATCTTCTGGAACAAAGACAGTCCGATACCTCATCTTCAAAGTCTTCGCATGATAAAAAGGTGTAATCCATGACTCAGAATATATGACACATGCCGACCAGCGGTCATGTTATGCGAAGGACAAAAAATATTTGAACCCCAAGATTCGTTTTTTTTTCACACTAAGTGGATCCCGATCCAAAACGTTCTCGAGGGAAAACTTCGGCGGAATGGGCAGACGTATTCACTAAGCTGTAGATCAGCTGGGAAAAACTTTCAAAATGCAATTTTGGCACCTGAATTTCATGAACGCTGTCAACAACGACAAACTAGAAAGCTATATATGAAAGCGAGTAAGAATTGATCGAGCTTTCACTATATATGCAAAAAAACGCGAAGCCCACAATTCACTGGGTTGAAAAGAAGAAGATATTGCTTTCTTTGGAATTTATAGGCTTTAATAGGTATCCTCCAGACGAAACGTAGTATAATCTCATGCTACAGTTTCAAATTTATATAGTACATTGCTGCATATACGGAATGACCACAAGACTACGACTAAGTTAGAGACTACATAAATTCATTTTCCGGTTTTCAATCTTTATTGTTTTTTAGAGCGAACAAACAAATTCAGACATGAATGTTTGTATTAACTGATTATGTTTGAGAAATTGGGAGGTCGTGGGTTCTTTTGGTGGCTATGAATTTTCGTGTGGACTGTCTTAGGTTTTGGCATCAAACTTTAGGTGACTCATTTTTTAACAAATTCATTGTTCAAAGTTGGTTTGTTCTGTTATATTCCCTTCGTAAATTTCCCAGTGTTCGATCGCTGGTATGACAAGCGACATTATTTTCTCACAATCCAATATACAGCCAAGGTAAGGTAAAGTGAAGTTCTCAAAAGATACTTTCATAAGTCGCCAAGTCAATCAAGGAGAGCCGGATGAATGTGCGTTTGTGACCAACTACTGCTTGCTTTTCTACAAAGGCAAATAAGTTAAAATCAGGAAAATGGGAAAAATTGAACATTGACCTTCCAAAAAACTGATCAATAAGTTGACCAAACTAGCACAAGTGCTTACTGCGACTTAAAGGGGGAAAATGAGAAACTCTTAAAATCAATGACTATGTCATGTGCAGGTTCGGAAATACTTCTGTCCATCCTGAGAGATTGATCTCATTTTTTGAATCAGGCTAGTCATCCTTTCTAGTCATTCCTCCCACTCCGAAGCAAAATCTTCATAACATACTCAGTCTTTTTTGCAGCGCGAATACACGCAATCTGAAAAAAAAAACACCCACTTCGGACAGATTTCGCTTGGATATGATGAACAAAAACTGCATACTTTCAGAAATTTTTGGGAGACTTCTGACTTTCTAGAATATCTTTTTCAGTGTCTGCAGCGAAGTTTACACCGCAGCAAATCGCTTCATGGTCAATTAGGTACTGCCGAATAAGGTAAAGATTCCCTGGTGTTACCACGGAAGGTGTCAAGATAACGAACTCAAAAGAGTTCGCTATTCTTGCACAGGGCTCGGCACGAGGTGTCTTGTCAGGAATGCAAAAAAAAACGAAGTCGCTCTTGATTTTCCCAAAATTTTGCGAATTCCCCTTCGACCCTAAACCACAATATTTGAAAATCTCCAAAAAAACGAAACGTCGACCAAAAAAACGTCGCAAATTTTGTGTTCTTTCGGCAACAGAAACGAAACCCCCTTTGCTTTTTGTCCCAAAAACTATCCAACTTGCTTACCAAGCTACCTGTGCTGAGCCATGTTCTTGCAGTGCTAAAGTATTTATCTGAGGGATGCCCAGCTTATCCATTTTCTTGAAACAATACGAAAAAATTGGTCTATGCACCGGCAGTATGTAGTACTTGTTTGGGTTGATGACATGAACCCAAAAGTTTAAGCTATAGTTCTCGTGGTTAACTAGATATGAATAGAAACGTCCATTGTTCGGTTATGAAAAGAGATGATGTCATATATGTTAGCTAGTTACATCTCGAAATAGGGACTTTAAATTTTCCCATAAGAACCTAATCGAATTTTGCACCACTCAAAGGAAAGAGAAATAGGGAAGTAATATTGATTTCTTGGGGAGAAATTACCAAATTCTGGCTTTATGGGTTGCACGCGTGTTTCCGCCATTGAAACTTTGAGGAAGTCAAGCTAAAGTTCTTCATCCCTGCTTCTATCTGTGCATCTGGAATTGATTTTGGCCGTAAAATTAACTGTTAACGTAGATATTATACGAAACACGTTTTTTTCAAATTAGAGGGGCAATCAGCTCAAACAGTCGACGGCATACCTCCGGAGCAGAAATGGCAGAGCCGCGGGGTTTCCCCAGTGGGCCACTCGTGCTCCGGAGCCCTCCCATTTTGTGCTCCGGAGACCTCCCATTTTGTGCTCCGGGGCTCTCCCAAATCTGGCGTACCTCCGGAGCAGAGATTTGCGCGTCCCGAGGGGTCCCATTCGCCTGCTTGTGACGTCACCGTGACCTACAAGAAGGGACCGCCCCCTCGCCCCGCTCTCAATGGTCAATTGGGTCCTCCGCAGCTCTGCCAGATTTCGACTGTCCTCCGGAGCTACGGCACCGACTTCTGAGAGAGCTAAATGTGTCGCTGCTGATCCCTGAAACCGATTAAGCTGTTTCCTCATAGCCTTGAGATTGCCAGATGAACTTGTGGGAATGTAGCCTAGACGCAACAGCGTCATTCTCATTTTTAAGTTTATCCAGGCGCTTTTAAGCAAATGTGCAAACAATAAAGGCAAAGCGAAATTGACCCATTACAAATTCCCAAAAAACAAATGATTTCCACAGTTTTAGATGTTATTTCAGCAACAAGTCGAGTAATTGTTGTTGCCATAATTTAGGGTGCCCCAAAAGGTGGCACACACTTTTTAATCGTTAATAATTTTTTCCCACAGAGTATTTTGCTTGAATTTGAATACTATCTAGTAAAGCAGGCTTCAACTTATGTTTACAGTAAGAGCGAATCACCTACATATTGCCCTTCATTACTGTAAGATTACTGTGGGAACTTCCACCACACAGCGCCATTGTAAAATAGGCCGTTTAAAAATAAGCTCCAAAAAATATAGAAAGTTGTGCAGTAATTTCAGATATATTGATTTCACTACGAGTATTTACGAGTTTTTTGAGCGATTTAAAGGACTTAGTCACATTGTTGACAACCACTAAAGGTCGTTGCGGTTCACTTGGATAACTCATGAAAAAAGCTTTACGGTAAAATGCGAAATCACATTCGTAACCAGCGACTCAGTTTAGCCTATTCTGCGGCAATATGTAGCAATTGATGGCTCAAAACTCCCTTAAAGTTCCCACCGTAGTCCTACAGTAACAACGAGGGTGCGAGGGTGTGTGATCCTCTACTTACTGTAAATCTGAGTTGTCTGCTCTACTGGAATATACTTCAAGCCAAAGAGACTTCATGTGAAGAGAGCCATTCAACGGTTGGAAACTGTACTTACTTTGTGAGACTCTGCATTTGAAAACTGTTGAAAATCTTGTGCGCAAACTTTTTGGGTTGAGCTTCAAGGGTTGGCTCTGACGATCCCTATAGACAACTAACTATGTACAGAGTGTCCCACAAAGATGTGCACACTGTTTGATCGTTAATAACTCTCTTGCTTTCATGTCTTTTGCCGAGCTTGAAGTACCATTTTGTAGAGCGAGGATAAACTTAGATTTACAGTATTAAGCGAAACTCCAATCTCTTTTTGCTACTGTAGGATTACGGTATGAACTTTCAGCATACAGCATCACTGTGGGATAAGCCTTTTGATGAAATAATTTCAAAAAAAATCTAAAAAATTGTGTAGCAAGGTTTTCAGGCGTGCTGATTTCACTACATAACTTTCCATCAGTTTTCTGAGCTTTCTTGATGGCGTATTCACATTTCTGCTGAACACTTGAAAATCAGTTATTACCCTAAATCTGAATTAACTCATGAAAAAAACGTTGTACTGACGTGCAGTTTTCATATTTAAAATCAGCGACTATGATTAACCCAGTTTAAGAGTTTCTGGCTTATTGGCTTTTTTCTGAGGCAAAATACAGACTTTCTATTGCTGAAAGTCCTCCTCGAAATTCCTACCGTAATTCTACAGTAATAGCGGCTGGTAAGTCCCTCCATACTGTAAATCTAAGTTTATCCTCGCTCTACAGAATGGCACCTCAAGCTCGGCAAAAGACATGAAAGCAAGAAAGTTATTAACAATCAAACAGTGTGCACATCTTTTTGGGACACCCTGTATATAGCGTTCGCAAAACCGGAAAGGCATGCGAAAAGAGTTCGGCCTTTTGTAGCGTGGGAAAGTTGATTATCTCCATATAGGTCATTCGTAAAATCGTGACGACGGATT